AGACAAATGCATAACTTTATGATCTTACCAACAATAAAAAAATACGGGAGATGCAAATTGTTTCATTTACGGCAACAATAAAATATGAACAATAATATTTAAAGCACAGCAATTGCTTAAAGCATGACACGTTGAATTTAATGTGAACTATTCAGACTGGGTTTCAACAGTTTCATTAACTCCGACTCCTTAACTTACCTCTTTATCACATCAGATGAATGCATTTGGTAAATTTTACTGTTGGTAAGATCATAAAGTTATGCATTTGTCTAAGTAATGTAACGTCACAATTTAGCTTGTATTGTTGTTGTAGTCATGGATTTATGTGTATGCCTTCTGTGACGTCATAATGACTTTGCATTATTGATGACGTCATACTTTCTTGTGTAAACAACTATGACCTCACAATACCTGTTTTCAAAATAAACAGTCTCCTGATGAACGGGGAATCAACCCGAGAAAGGCCTAGAGACGCTATCTCTGTCTTTTGTTCTATTTTATATATATATATATGGTAGCGTTCATTTGATTGGTGGTTTTAATGTGTTCAATTTTAAAATGCACCCAGGTGACGCCAAATGGCTATCAATGTTTATATGTATAGCACTTACCACACCAATAATATGTATTTTAAACAGCTCCAAGGAGTATTCATATTTCAGGCATTTTAATTTTTTTTTATTTCGCAAAATACACACCTATGGTTTAATTGCAGAGAGTCCCATTCGGGATTAACAGGTTGCTATTTCGTTATCTTTAGTAATTCATTATTTCTATAAATAAAATTCACGAAAAGTTATGAATTCGTGAATGACTCTTCGACTATTACCGCAAAATCTTAACCTAAAACGCTAAAGAAAATGAAATTATTTCATGGAAATAAACCGCGTGAAATAACTGCCAGAATCGGTCACTAATGACGGAAACATTTAAATTTTTCCGACTACACAAATAAAAACCACTTTGCAATATACTGTTAATTTGTCATATTTCGCGAGGTTATATTTTTGCGTTCGACAATGATTAGATCTAGAGACGACCAGGGATATAAATACTCACGCATATTAATTTAGATGTAGTATGCCAAGGAGTTTACACTTCTTGGTGTTAAATTTTGAAAATGAAGTAATCACGAATATTTTGGATGACGGATTATTATTCCAAATTGTTACAGAACCAAAATGTATTAACATTTCTTCCTGGTGTTAATTTTGTAGACAACGCTTCTGTTAATATCGATTATCATATAGTATTTTCCGGGTGTGTCGTGAGAACTATTTTCTCATCGTGAGTTCGTGGACGAAAATACATTCTCAAATGGGAAAATCCGTTCTGAAGTCGTTTGACTTCTTCTTGAGTACTATGTATTTTCATACTGACAACCCATAAAATGAATTTATCGTGTTGCCGGTAGTTGGTATATAGATGATAAGTATGATTATTATTGAAACGCAAAACCAAACTACGCCGCGTTTTGAAAGCGCGAGTAAGGTTTCCTGTCTGACTTGGACGATGTCAACCGTTATCTATCAGCATTGGTGACAAGGAATCTATGCAATATCGGACGTGTTTTTCTTTGTGTGTTCTTTTGAAGATAAAACTTGTCAAGCCATTATATTTTGTCTGGTAAATAACAGCTAGACTTCTGAAGGTTTTTGGCGATTTGATGTTGTACATGACCACAGAGGTATTGTATAATTAATTTATCCGATAGTGCAAAGTACACACTATTGATTTGACAAGGCTTTGCAAATATAAGATTTGTTAGCTTTTTAAATTTTATTTCAATAACAAGAAAAAAATCTCTGTCTTTCCCCTGTATCCGATGTTCTCAAATGTTGTAAATATTGAATTTAAGTGGCCATTCTAACGTTTGAATATATAGATTTTTTTACATATATTAGAGATATCCTCCATGGCGATTTATATTCATTACTGTAAAGCTAACTAGGCCTTTATCACCTGTTTGCTGCACACCGTCTGGTGTCGATATCTGTCAGCAAGTGATTATGATTGACAGGGATACAGTGTTCATGTCACGTAAATTGAACTACAACGCCATTGTATGGGGACACCGTGAATCTTACAGCATATATAATAAATCTCCTGTTGGTTGATTAAAAACGATATATTCCGTCTTTGTGTATTGCAGAGTTATCCTCTCTTGGGATCAGGTATTGACCTTGAAAAGTATTGCACTAAATGGCAGCTCTCAATTAATACTAATGAAACTAAAGCAATGATTTTTCAATCTAGACGCGGTGTCCAAACAACTAGCAAGAAAGAAAAACCGTTTTCATTTAATAAAAAGGAAATTGAACAAGTTGCCGAATATAAATACTTAGGCACAACGCCTTGTAACAACGGTAAATTCACGTTAGCAGTTAAAGAACTTTGTGAAAAAAATAAAAAAGTTCTATTTGCAATATCTTAATAAAATAGCTGATATGCCAATTTGGCTATGGAAGAAGTTATATAATTCCTTAATAAGACCAATATTAACATACAACTCTGAAATATGGTATGCAGACCACTATCAAAAGATTGTAAATGCAAGCAAAAGAGCAGATTTAAACCATGCATCTTTAGACATATTTTTTCTACTTGATAAAACACCTATTGAACAAATCAACCTCAAATTCTGCAAAATGGCATTGGGAGTTGGAAAATACGCTGTTTATGTTGCATCGAGGGCAGAACTGGGTCAGTATACCATGGACTGTTTTGTGAAGGATTACACAAAATGATATAAATGAACTTGTAAAGGAGTCGTTAAAAGTAAATAAACAACTCCACGAAAATAGGATATATACATGGTTTACATATATTTCCCAAATAAAAAAGAATAATAATATTAACTATGACTTTCATCACGACCCATTCTTTGCAAAAAAGAAAAGGAAAATGAAACTATTGTTTAAAAAGTCGATACATGCTAAATTTGAATCTTACTTTTTTGAAAAAATGCATAGTTTGGACGAAAATAGTAAGTTATTTCTATACAGTAAAATTTTAAAAAAAGTATGCAGAGGAACACTATCTATCGATACCCAACTTTGAATATAGAAAATTGATGGCAAAGCTGAGACTAAGCAACCACAATTTAGAAATTAAGGCTGGTAGATCTAAAAAGATTCCTCGACAATCCCGACTATGTAAATTCTGCAATATTGTAGAAGATGAAGTACATTTTATATTTAAATGCAAAATAAATTTAAATATCAGGACTACGTTTCCCCAAAAAATTAAAATTGACCCATCATTGCCTGATCTACAAAATTGAATATTATTATTGTCATCTGATGACCCACAGCTTTTGCAGGAAATAAGCCTCTTTATTAAAAATTCATTTGAACTGAGGAAGGCAGGCTTGCAGAATGCATACGTATGAAGTTAATGCTGTCCATTATATAGTATCAGTGTTTGTTTGATGTTTGCTGTTCGATCCTTGTAAATTGGATGTAAAATGCAATAAAGTTGATTGATTGATTGATTGATAATCGGCGTTTAAACTTAAACTACCTAATATGTACTTTGTGATTAATGAACGATCATCTAGATTATATTTATCTAAGGATTAGGTTTGTATTTATTGGTGGGTTGTTACCTCAGCCTAGCTGAGCATATGATGTCAGAGTTATTTCCTCTTGCTATCTCAGAATATATGGTAAGCACAATCATATTTTGTCAAAACAAATTCAAGTTTTTGTATCTTAATTTTAGTTATTTTCCCACCAACCACTCCACATCCACAAGCTGTATGGTATTTAACTTAACTTGTTACTGCTGGGATTTTGTTGTATACTTTCAGTTTTTAACATTGGCTGTAATGGATTAATTGTGGTCTCACTGGGAGGAAGCCCTATATGTGTCAGAAATATATCTATCATTCAGTATAAGTGTGGGATCTAGACAAGCGATATATTTCCTAGATGCGTATTTATTAAATCAATATATATGAGTTGAGAAGTAATTAGCCACCGTACGAACGTTTAATGTGACATATTTTCCAGATAATTGGCTCCTTTGGCCAAACACATGCAAGTATACATAATTTGAACAATAGGTAACTCAAAAAGTGACGCAAAGAACAATGATATGCCTGTTTCTAACTATAAAGCGCCAGTGATTACGTTGATTGCTGGTTGCTATTATTGCCTTGCTTACTCGTAGAGTATACATGTATATTTGCATTTCATTAGGATAAAGTCGGTTCTGTGGACCATATTTATTCCTTCATTACACGTTTTGAATGTTTACCATAATAACTGTCAAACAACCCTTTTTATATCAATATTTGTTCTTGTATGCAATTTTAATTGTGTCTTGAAATGGAAGTGTTAAACTTTGGTAGTCAATACAGCTGTCTCCGAAGTCTATTTTCACCTGGGTCAATTGCTTCACTAACCTTGTACAGGGGTTGTTGACTATCGAACACTGTCTGGGATAATTGATATTATTTGGGAGAATGCTTTTGTGTTTTACAAGAATGAAATTATATATCCTATTCAGTTCGTATAAAAAAGGTATCCATTTTCAATGCGTCATTCCCTTATCAGGCACGCACACCTTGTATTCATTGCATTGTGTATTTGAGAATTTGGTACAAGGGCACTGTTGTTTGGGCGACCTTCCCTAACACACGCAGACGTGTCTAGTACCTTAGATCAGAACACGTAGTCTTCTCGTCATTTCTAACTATATCAAACAACATTGCAAACTTTGGGTACTTGTATTATTAAGATATTCATAAAAAAAGAGTCGGTAAGACACAAGAGTCAGCTTTGAGAGAGACTTTGTAAAGTAATCAAAAAGAAACGCGATCCTGGACGCTTTAAAACAGTGATCTGTGATAACGATATAGTGATGTGCTTCTGAGTGAAATAGTTAGATTAAGGTAACAACAGTATGGCTTAATTGTTCATTTTATTTTTATATTCGCTGTTTAAACAGTTTTGTTTTAGTCAAAATCTATAAATATACATTAAACATTGTTCTAGGGAGACGAGGATATCAAATCAGTGAGTAGTGAGACGAAGCAAGAAGAAGAGAACACCAAACAGGAACGGGAACAGCCTAAACAGACGACTGAACAAACGCCTAAACAGACGACTGAACAAACTAATCCTGACCAGGGAGAACAGGATGACGAAGATGCAGGTATGACGTCACTATCATTTGAATACGATTTGCAGCTGCATGCATATAAGCATTGATTTATGATGGACTAAAATTTACAATCTATTTATATATCAAGATTTGTGATCACTGCATGCTCTATTTATTCATGACATACTTACTTAGCTTTGATCAATAATATATACCGTTTTAAATTTGTTACACATTTCCTTATTTAAAAGATTTGACCGCTCTCAGATTCCTTAATCTGGAACCTAAACCTTTTTGAAAATCGTTTTGTGGACACTGATATCTAACAGAAATTGAAATTTTGTTTAAATCCTTGTGTTAATAATGATGGATTTACACAGACAATATAGAGTTTAATGATATTGAAAACACATATGATAACATTTTAAATAGGACAATTATAACATACAACATCCCTTGTGAGTCAAAGATCTAGCTTAAAATTTCATACAATGTAGAAGTATCAAGGATAAAAATGTTTGTGTATTATCTAGCTTTTTTTTATTTTGATTAACAACTTCGAAAAGAAGAATTCTTTTTTCACTCCGCACAGTAGAACACACATACTATCGTCATATTTTAAACCATCTTATTTTCTATCTAATCTTTTGGTTTTGTTACTATCTTGCTTGAATGTATAAGATATCGCTTATGGCTTTATTTGCTTCGAAGATATATATATGCCATAACTAGGTCATAATTATAATCTTTGAAGTGAAAGGGTCCCGCTCTGGATAAGATTTCGAAGATGAGATATGTTATTCCAAAAGCAAAACGTGGCAAGTAGTTAATATGTACACAAATCATAAATGTATGTTTAATATTATGCACCATTTACACAATAATATTATTACGTAATATTTCGCATAAACTCCTGCACCATTTGACATTACTGCCACTGTCTGACTGACTCAATTTTATAGTTCTATTCTAGTTTTCGTGTTTAACATTTCCTCATCACTTATGGAGGACGCTATATTGATATTAATATCATAATTGGTATAGCAATAAATAAGTCTAAAAACCTTTAAACAAAATATCTAGTTGCGTGCAAACAAAACTGAAATCTCAGTGGAAAAGATTTGACACTAGACAATATTTCTTGCTCCTGCAGCTTTCCCAGTTTTGGTATAAGTGAAACTAATTGCATTACACGTTACATATACTAATATTTACCATTATAATAACGTTTGTGCGAAGTCTGTTCAACGTCGTGCCTCTAACCGGAAATCAGAACTAGATTGTAATACAATAATAATTAGAATAAAGTACGGACAAGAATATCCGGAAGTTTATTTTATATAGAAAATGTGAATGTATACGTATTGGTTAATATATATGTATGACGAATACTGATACTTGTTCGAATATTTTGAACAGTATGTACATTATTTAAAGGCGATTCTAGACACATGTACATTGTATGTATATATATATATATAGCGGACGATCTGAAAAAATGTTTTTTATTCTTTATTTTCCTTCGCAAGGACTTATTTATTTATTATATATATATATATATACTTATATATATATATATATATATATGTTTATGTCATACAATTTTGGAANAAAGCTGATCATAGCGTGCCATCAGTTCATAAAGTAATATGCCGCCCATATACACTATTGTGTGTATCCAATAATTGTTTCAGAGGAATTATTTTCCTAGATTATATTGTCATTTTCTACAACCGGTTTTACATATCTTCGATACTAAACATGAATAAATTGACACCAACATGTTTTATTATATATATTCGCACAAACATACAAACTAGGTTAACTCTTGTGCATTAATTATTCAGAAGACGTAAGAGAAAATCACCACAAAACGTAAGGGTGCATTGTATACTTATCATATCCATCAACACGTTAATCTGAAAGATGGATTATCGAATCAATTCTTAATCTCTTTACAAGGTTAACACCAAACATCCTATATCTATTTCTACTGAACTTAGATATTGGTGGGTTTATTACCAGGCATGGGCTTACTGCCGAACACATCTCCGTGGAGATAATGACATGTTAAGGATCCCCGTAACACTGCTTAAGTCGGTAAATACGCATTGGAAACGATTTCTCCCGGCATGACTACAGCTTTGATAAACCATCTCTTATCGTACCTTGCGTGATTTTATGAAAATAATAATAATGAAAATAAAATAAATAAAATATAATCATCCACAGTATTACAAGTTTAACGCATTAGTCGGACCACGCCGTGATTCGAATCATGGACTTAAATTGTTAGACTAGCGCTCTAACCAATTCGTGAACGGAAGTTTCCTTGCCAAACTGTGCTACAGACTCATCCTAAACGAAATTAAGAGGGCTCACTGTACATACGAAAATCGTCCTTGTAGTGGGCCATGGATCCTTAACCTAATTTTAAAGTTAATGTAGACTCATATTCTGCCGATAATACACTATGTTATACTATTATTTCATTTGGACACATATTTTTAACTGTTTGTTTGCCATTATTGTTTAACCGCAATAAAATCAAACTATTCAATTTTCTGTTGAACTTGTATCTAAATTGCCAAAAGACTTGTCAGACTAGTAAACGCGCCATTGGCTAATTCGTTCTTCAAGAAATCATACTAATTACAATTTTAGCATCCGCATCAAAAACGTGGATATTAAGTTTCTTCTTACTGTTGAACAAAAACATCATTTATAATGGTTAGTACATTAACATAAGGAAAACTTACATCTGCAATGTGAGTTTAATTTTTATAATGTAACCACTTTTCCGTAGGGGAAACCTCAGTAACATTATACTCCCAAAGGGTCATTATACGTTTGTTCAATCTCTTAAACAATACGCGGTGGAGGTACAACATTGATACCAGCTTTGATAACACACTGTCACGTGCTGTGTTTTAATTGGGTTTTGATGTGCAGGGAGCAATGTTAGTAAACAACTTATTGTAAACATTTTGAACCGTTTGTTATTATTCCTTTATCTTAATTTCTGATTATTTACAGATATATGATATTACGTATTTCATTATTGACCTCAACAAAGATAGTGACGTCTTTCAAACCTCTAAGTATGACTTCAAATCATTATATATCTTAATCTTTCTATAGGCAAATTCAATACTGATCACCTTCTACAAGAAGTAAGCGAGAAACTACTGCTTCATGGGTCGAAGGAATGTTTAGAAGAAGCAATTGATTCTGGAATTATCAACAAAACAAACATAAATAATGAAACAGTAGATGAATCTAATTTAGAAACTGACCATACAAGAAAAGAAGACGGAGAAGTAATAATAGAAAAACCAAATATAGTAGAAAACAAAGCAAACGAAAACTCGGCAAGTGTCAATGGTGAATCAGTTGAGCAACAAGAAAAACAGGACGTGGAAACATTACCAGAATCTACCGAACTGTCGACAAACGCTGGTGGTAACGTAGAATCGGCCGTCAGGTTAGACACCGAAATAAATCCAGAATCTGCCGAGCTGTCGACAAAAGTTGGTGGTAACGTAGAATCCGACACAAAAACCAAAAGGGTTCAACACGCAGAAAGCGGTAATTTTGAATCTGTAAAAAAAGCAGAGCAGTCTGAAGGCAAAAAAACCCCAGAAAGTGTCGAACAGTTAGAGACCGTTGATAATGAACCTGTAGAAAAGTCTAATCAGTCAAAAGTCGATAAACTAGAAACAGTCAAACTGTCAACGAATGACGACGTTGAAACTGTAGCGCAAAAGGATCAAACAGAGAATGAAACTAACGAGGAACCATCGAACGTGGATAGTCTAACGCAAGCAGAAACTGTAGGTAAAACGGGCCATTTAAAAAAGACAGAAGGTGAAACCGCTAACGAAAGCGAAAACTTTCAAACAAAACCTGCTGAGAAGACTGATTCTGTTTTACATTCAAATGATGATCTGGTAGAAAACAGAGCCTCTCAGAAATCTGAGGGAAAATCTGATTCTCATACTGGACAGAATTTAGAATCCTTGTCTGATAACGAAAACGAATTTGATATCCATCAGTCACAAGACTGTAGAGAAGCTATCTCTAATAAGCCAGAACCCGAAAACAAGATGGATGACAATAATCTATCTCAGGAAAACGTCAATAGCGTAAACAACAATGACGCTGAAAACGCGTCGAAAGAAAATGGAATGTCGTATGCAAACCCGGTAAGTTCCGATCAACGCAAACCTGATGATAGTTATGAAACACCACAAGAAGTAAAGTCTGACCGTACTAATGATGAAGATGTGTTATCCGAAAGAAAGACAGTCCAAATCGACCAATCAGAAGGAGATGAACAACAACAAAGAGACATCAAGAACGCGTCGGAGCCCGAACGAGAGTTAACTTCAGATCAGGATGAGGCCGATCCTGCAAATGCAGATTATGAGACTAAAGATTCATCAAAAGTAGACGACGACGACCAAACGCGAAATGATTTTACTGATACGGATAATGCCTATGAAACGGAAATTCGATCTGAAAGTAAAGACGAAAGAAGGTATTCAGAAGATGAAGATAAAGAAGGCGAAGAGCATAAGGAGATCCCAGATGAAACATATGAAGGTATCCATGACGACTATGAACAAAAGTCACGTAGATCGTATAGTTCCATGTCTTCCCGTTCCACCGATGACGCAAAAAGTGCGAAAGATGAAAAAGGCAAACCTTTCAAACAGGATCAATCCCAACAGTCTAAGAAAAGTGTAAGAATGGATGAAAATGTACAATCAAACCAACCTAGAACTGCCTCAACAAAACCAAAAGGTAACACTCCTTCCTCTCCGTCGCCAGCACAAAAGCATGCAACCCGAAATTCCTCTCGTAGCGCACAACCCTTTAGCCGACCTGTACATAAACCAGAGGCTACTACAAAGGCCGTCTCCTATACCTCTTTGAGACGCCCCAAGACTTCTAACTACGGAAGCATGATAAGTAGAGGTGATTATATGGCGCTGATACTTTTCCTTTCTTACCGCATGGATACCCAACACACACTGTTTCAAAATGCCTTCCGACATTCTTTGATCCGTCGTAATATAGTTACTATTTTCGGCTGCAAACACGACTTTCAGTCTTTACAGAAAACTTGTATGCGGCATGTATTCACTTTGATATGGTACTGTTAAAATTGAACCTTTCGCATCGCATGACATCTTTTACAGGAATGTACGCCTTAACGCTATTCTCATAACATGCCTTTGTAGATTGCATTATATCTGAATCGCTTTTACTAACTCACTTAACTGCTTTTTTCTGTATCATGCTCTGATGTATAAACGTGACATTCCATGGGTTTGTTGTTGTTGTTGAATAATATAAAATTATATCTCACTATGGAAATACTTATATTTAAATTAAACACTTGTGAAAAGCACTATTGAAAACAATGCATCGCTAAAAATGTATTTGTTATTCAACTGACCATTTTCTGTTCATTATATTTTTAAATTCCGGCAGGACGATGAAAAGGCTATTCTGTTTTTGAATCACAGTTTTCATTGGTCTGATGTTTTCATTAAAAGTGAGGCGTTATTCTTTTGCAGTGGTTATATATATACTATAGGTAGCTTATATAATGATGCAGTACTAAAAGGTCTATTTGATTTCGTATATATTAACTGCATTTGAAAAATAAACATAAAACGCTAAGGAATATCTTTGCTATGAAAGTTGGCACATTACGTTGACAAAGGAGGACAACTCGTTGGAAGAGAACGAATGAAGTCCCAATTGAAACTAGGTTCACTGCCGTGAAAAATGTCACTTGTAAAAAAACTCTTTCAACTTTTAAAAATAATAAATCACACATCTTTACATAGAAATGTGCAATATTTGATACCGAGTTCCGGTACAACGTGTTACTGCATTGTTTTTAATTAGACAAATAGTATGCAAAGTTACCAAGTGTGTCTCTATTGTATGCCATATAGAACAAATAACTCATATTTCACTCACAATGCTTATTAGATTGCTGGTTTGACTTATTTTTGTATATCTTTATAAACTGCATGCTTATTCAGCGAAGTAGAAAGCTTTAGACAATCTTACACCTACAAGATGTACAGTCATGTTAAAACAACTACATACATGTATATCATTGTGTTGCACTTTTAATTGTGTATATTTTAACGGATGATTGTTCTGTCAAAGATATAGTTAAAACACGTGTTTTTTTCAATTTTATATCTTACAACCCTTTCAACCCTATGTAACTATAGTAGACATACTTTACATTGATCTGGATGAGTCTATTATGGTCTACAGTGGTGAAAGGGTTAACAACTCAACGTTTTCTTTGTTATATCGAATTTACATTGATGTTTTTGTTACATATATTTTCACAACATTTTACTATAGTACTATTTCGTGTATATTACTCAATATTTCAAATCATTCTATTTTTAGTTGTTTAAGTTTAAAAAAAGTTATGTTAATTGTTCCAATGCTCTTAAATATTGAAAAATAGTATGATCTGAAATACAACTATATAATGATAATATGTGAAGTTCAATTTTTTAAACAATAAGTACTTTGCATTTGTACGTACTTTCTCAGAAAACATCCATATGGCTCGTCCGTTTTGTTATATTTTATAAGGAAAATCGTATGAATACACTTTTATTCTATTTGTTACATATTTATAAATAAACGATTTACTTTTATGTGAAACCCCCTCCCTGCTTTCCCCATATTGCTGTTTTGCGTTTTGCTATTCTGACGTAATCGACTTGCTCGTATCGTGTTTTATTTATCTACTACTGGTGTTTGAAATGTTTTGCTTTCTTAAATAAAACCAGGGGCAAAAAAGGACAATAAGAAGGCCAAACCCAACAAAAAGGGTGAAGGTAGGTATATGCATGCGCATGCGCATATATACCGAACACAAAACCCGTATCCTAGTTACACTTTAGATGAACCAAGGGAAATAATTTGTGATTACTTACTTTAAACAATATAATATCACGTAATAACATCAGAATATTTCAATATTATTATATTATTTCAAAAAATATAAAACGAATACCGTAAACGTACGTAATATTTTGTTTATCTTATTATAAGCTTCTATATACACTGTTTTCTATTTCATATACTCCTTATCATCAATGGTCTAATTTGTTAAAGTTGGAATGATACCCTTACAGTATACTGCATATTATTAAACAAAAATAAAACAAACGATGCATCTATGTCAGTATTAGTTCGTTACAGCAAGGAATCTTCCACGACCTGCAATAACTCGGGATTTTAATCAGTGAACCAATAAAAACAAACAAGCATAATACAACGGAAATAAGTAATAATCATTAGTCTTACGGCGGATTTTCCCTTAAAACATGATAATGATACTCGCACAATGTTGGATATTTACCTTGTAGGTAGAGTACGTCCTCTTAATGACAATTGTATGTAATGACCTCCCCTGCTGACTTGATGATCGTCATACAATACTATTGCAATCGGGAGGTTATTTTGAATTTATTTTCGATTAAATATGAAAATCATTGACGATTTAATATATATATAAACATGTGTCAATATTCAGGCTCCTGATTCCCGTTTCTTATCTTAAGACTATTCATGAACAGAAAAAAACTCTTTGTCTCTAGGGACACTTATGTAGTTAAGACATTTCAAGACACCGAGATTATGAACAGATTACATCTTACATATAACAGAATGTGTAACATGGTAAAATTTGTTGTGGCTCGTTTTTTTATTTTTATTTATTTCAGATTCCATATTCATACACAAGTCAACTTCAGTTTTGTATTCTCCGTATATTTTAATATTGTGCTTGCTTTACTAACATCTCCATTTTATAGTAAATCATATCGTATTTCGTTCATTTTATACACGTTGAAGTATGTATTCATACGCGGATCTTCAAATCTATTTAAATTGAAATAACTTGTTTCATAATTGTTGTAAAGTAAATAAAGTTTACAAATTTAGGCCAAGCGAAAACCGTGAATAGCAAACTTCAAGAACAAAAACAATTTAAACAAAATTATACCACTAGTTATAATAAAGGTTAACATAAACTAATGTGCAACAGTAACTATAATGTTTCAACTAGTAGTTTGATGTCTTTCAAATCCTGATATTTATGCTTTATGCTTAAAGCCCAATGCATTTCATTGGATGATATTCTCTTTTATACAGTATAAAAAAAATCGAGTTTGGAAAAAATGCAGTTCCTGCTTTTCTGTGTTATAAGTTTTTTTTTTTTTTTTCATTAATAATTTGTTCCCCATCTATTTTAAATTTATTGAATACGTAGTCTGGCTTGGTGGATATGCTAATTATATTATTGCATTACGCTTGCCATTTTCAATTATTTAGTTACTGGTATTTATTATGAATGGACTGCATGAACGCTCCATTCTTACACGGACTCGAAAGGATGTCGGAAGGTGTAACTCGAAACTTGATATAAAATGCCACATGTGATCGATAAACTGTAAGCTTTAATACAAGTCTACTTTTACATCGCAAGTTTTGAAAATTAATATAAAAAATATGACATCTATAACTAACGTTACAAATTTAATTTAATGACAGATACCACTCATTTGTTTATTTAAGTCATTTGGGGAAAAAATGATTCAATATATAAATTCCTGAAGTATTGAATCTCTATTCTTTCAAGCGTTGATTCCGGTATTTCCGAATTAAGATCAAGAATAAAAGTATTCGCGAAAATAAAATCATTTACTTAATAGTTTTTGATATATGACGTTTGTTTAATTAAATTTTCCTTTTTATAAGCCCACATTTAAATGCTTATACTTCGAAAATCCATAAAGCAAAATTTTGAAACAATCAGGTACATTCTTTACGCCTTACCTCCTATATATATAATATAATTGTCAGTACCCCAAATCAACAGATACACGTATCACCTATCCAATTATAAACATTGTATTCATAATATAAAAACAGCCTCTTCATATGTTGTGTATGGCTGATCATTATTTTCACAGAAAGCAACAAAAAGAAGGACTATTTCCAAGAGGAGCTACGGCGTTTACGAGTTCGACTTGGGAAAGATGCAGAAAATATCAAGAAACCACAGTTGTAAGTTGTTTTATTCACTCAGCATATTTATATTATAATAGAGTTAGTGATCGTAGATGGTAAGACGCCTTACATGTAACCACCCGGCCACCACGATCCCTCCTCAATGAAATAATTGAACCTCTTAAATGTATCCGACAGTCAATAAGTGACGTCATATATTGAGTAGCCACTATAAAAATGAAAAACAGAGGTATTTTTGGTTTTAATTTTTCTTCTTATTTTCACTATACGTCGATATCAGCTGTTATCTTTGGTGTGTATCCATTGACATATGCACATAAATTATACACATTTTAATATCATCCTTATCCGAGGTTTGAATTGTATAGAAAAAAACCTGAAACAAAGTTTAGAAAATATATATGGGTTCACCTATGGTTTAGTAATGATTTCTTAATATTATTTTTGTATTAATGTATCTAAGATCCGTGTTTGTCATCGGTTCTGGTTTTTTGGGGTGCTGTTGTTATTGTTATATACATATTACTTGGTACTACAGGGAATAAGAATCCACGTACCACTGCCTTAAACTAGCTACGCGTTGAGAAGTGTTTTCTCAGCATGACCACAGTTTTGATAAATCAATTCTAAATAGAAAGCCATACTTTGCGGGATTTTATGAAAATCGCAAAATATCAACAATAATATTCTGAGTGTACAATTCAGCAGTCATGACCGAGATTCCATCCCTGGACATCAAAATTGTTATATTGTCGAACTAACCGACTGTGCTACGTAATCATCGGACATATCCTGACCCAACAGTGCTGGATTTATATTCAAAAGGAAATTAGGGGAAGTTACTGTATACAAGAAGAACTAAAAGGTAGTGGGACAGGGATCGTTAAAAACAATAGCAACATTATATGTTACTGTTAGTGTACATTTTGTATTCGATTTGTAGTAAAGAACATGTGCCGTTTGTATGGACAAGTCTGGAACCTTATTACAATACCTATGTACCAAACTACCTGATAAACCTGGTAAGTAGAAACGTCATTAAAGTTACTAGATATTACTCTGTAGTCTTAATCTCGTCATATTACTTTCATCGATGTATCTATATACCTTGTAGGTATCAAAGTCATCCATGTTACTGGACCTTACTCTGCCTTATCAATCAGATTATATAACGTTCATCAATACTGCTGTTTCAAGTATCTATATACCTTGTATGACTCAAAGTCATCAATAGTACTGGACCTCACTCTGCCTTATCAATCAGATTATATAACGTTCATCGATGCAGCTGTTCCAAGTATCTATATACCTTGTATGTATCAAAGTCATCAATAGTACTGAATCCGAACCTATATACCTTGTTGATGTGCATGCATCATTGATATGTCATCAAACAGCTTTATATACTGTGTATGATGTACGCCTATTAATGTTACTTTATTCAACTGCATGTACTCGATGAACCTGGACCTTATATGCAGAACACTTATCATATCAATATTACTGCTGTACTTGTAACTTATAAACCTGCTACCTGTGCATAGTACTGTTATCAAACTAACTTTATCAAACTGCCTCGAAACAACGTGGTATATAAAGCAATGTTTGCTTCAGTACAGTAATATATATAACTGATTATATTCTATATTCGTTCTTGATATAATGTGTATGTGCTTCATTTCGTATGATAGTCAATTAATGTAGTCAGTAGATAGAAATTAAGGTCTGTTTTGTTTAGTTATTTTGATGTTATATTTCTTCACGGCTTAAAATGTCTCGCTTATTCAGCATTAAGCATTAAGCAGAATATGAAAGCAACAAAATTAACCTCAGTATTATAACGCTTTATCATGTCTCGCATGTGGGAGTCGGTATTGATTAATTTTAAAATCAATGTAATATTTGTTTTGAATTGTGTCTTTCTGGTGGGTGAATGGCGAAGCTTGGGAATTAGGGCCAATTATTTATGTCATTTGTTAGTATTCTGGTGGGCAGTGGTAGTGCATGCTGTGATGTACCCCGCTTGTTGTTGTAGCCTGATGAAGAACTCCAGCCACAACGGCCTGTCAGTCGTGGCCGACCCTCAGTAAGCTGGGTTCATGCATGTGCTTTTTTCTTTCGCCCATCCATTAGCAATGCTTTTCGTGAGATTGTTTGCAGTTGATTTTCTGACTAAGGCGTATCCAATGAACTCTTTTTCACTTCCCGTTTACAAATTACATTTAAACATGTATCTACGTGTTCATTACTATTACATTTCACATTTGTTGCTAGAAGTTTACTGCTTCAACGTAAAATCAAATCGTTAACTATTTTGTAACCTTTATTATATCTTTATTGTTAAATTGTTAAAAAGATGTCTGCAGTGTCTGGAAGATCAAGAGATTTATCTAAAGAAATTATTAATGAGATATAAATGTAGAAAATTACGTGAATTTTTAAGTTAATTATCTTGTTGGTATTTTATCGGAAGCTCTCGGAAACCCCTTGTCGCCTCCATTGACAATTTATCTGAACTTGCAAAGGCAAAGAAAATTACGTGAATTTTTAAGTTAATTATCTTGTTGGTATTTTATCGGAAGCTCTCGGAAACCCCTTGTCGCCTCCATTGACAATTTATCTGAACTTGCTTGGTACCAAGATGATCGATGCTCATTGGATACGCCGATGTTATTGTTCCCAGTTTTATGTTTAATTGATAAGTTTTGATGTCTTTACACTAATAATCGACCTTTCACACTTCCCCAACCCCCACCACAGTTCCAGCACATTTTATGAATTGAGTAGTTCATAGCTGGGCTAGTGTCATCTCCCTTTATCATCTTGTTAAGACACCGATAATCGGAGATCCTTCTTTCCAGATACGTATATTAAGGGATGCCAAGCGAACAAACCTTTTAAGGTATGGTTTAGTTTTTGTTTTTTTTAAACATAGGCTATCTTAAGGTATTCTTACTGCAGAATTCCATTCGCGTTTGTAAAAATGCTGTCAACGAAAATCGACAAAATTCTTAGATTTTTTACAAAGTGTGACGTAGTACATGTTCGTGTTGCCGTAAGCTTTGATCATCGTTCGATGAACGAGTGAAATCCGTTGATGAAATATTACAGCCGAAAGTACAGTTGTGGCACCCAAGTTATAGATTGTAATTCAAATGATTCAGGACAGTAGGTACATTTCTTTTGCAGTTCATTAAAGACAGTGACAGATTATAAAATTTGTGAAATTCGTCTTGATATCATTCGAAGGTCATCAAACCAAAGTTTAAAAATAATGAGGTATCACTGTAGTATGTCTAAGCTTTAAAATGAAATCGAAATTTGGGGAATTATAAGTTAACGATATGTTTAATGAAACCTCGTCATGTACAGTGAAAAGTTGGCGTTATAAAGGGGTTTGGTGATAATTAGAGGGAACCATATAAAAGAATTCTCTAGTTCGAAAAAGAGACCTTGAAATATGTTTGCGGAAAGGGAGCTGCGCAATGAAACGAGGAATTTATTTTAATTTTACTGTATTCTTAAATTGATGTTCAAAATGAGTGATGCATTCGGTACATATGATATTCTTCGCCTTAATTCTCGAATGTAATGTTCCTTTGAAAAGTTAATTATTTAAGAGATATAAGACAAAATATTGTTTACAATTGATTTGATAAAATAATCCAAGTATATATATATGTTTAGCAGTTTAAGACTTCAAGTCAAGATACAAACACCTCTCTGTGTGTAACGGTCATTTGGTTTTGCTTATAGGAAAAAGCAATATCAAAATCATTTTTTCTTTACATATCAAAAGTCATAGTTATAAAAACGTGATAAAAAGAAATGTGTTTGTAATATAGACTCCAACTCCATCTTTCTTACTTTTCTATTGCAAAAAAAATATTTAATGCACCTCTCCATTGCACTGCCGGGAAAGCACGATTGTCAAAACTCTGAATTGATTAATAGTAAGAAATAAACACAATCGACAACCGTTTTTTGAGGCACTACTAACCCGGTTCCCAAATATCCACCCACCATTAATCTGGTTTTCCCACTTTCCATCCGGGGTCTTTGGGACATCTATGTTTTTCCTATTCAGAATTGTCCAAGTAGCTTATCCGTTTCACAATCTAACAACTTAGTCCTTTCACCCCTATGTTACTTCAATAAACTCTACCATGTATTGATCTTGATTGGTCCATAATAGTCGACAGTGATGAAAGGGTTAAGCCTTGAAAGAACGAAAATGTTCCTGTTAGATACGAAATATCATGAAGAATGGAGATATGATGATTTTGCAGTAGTGAAGAATTGTGTGATGGGTGGCTACTGTTTTGAAATGTTATGCTATATGACCCAAGTTTCACGAACATTCACTGACTCAAGATTTTCCGTAGAACTGCATTACTGAAGCTAAAGAAACTTGTCTTTGTTTCTGATTTTACAGAAATCCAAAAATGTGTCCTTATTGATAAGCTAAAATTAATGAAATTACTTAAATTAAATTCAGCTTTGTGAAACTCGGGCCAAGAAAAAAAGAAAAGATTGAATTAAATAAATATTGGTTGACGTGTTTCAATAACGATTTGCCTGTAGTTACCATTCTGTTAGAGGTTAATTTGAATGAACCATAACCTTCAGAATTCTGTTCGAAACCACTAACTATTTTTTTCAAATATTTGTGTAAGAGGCGGCCAGCCTCCTGCAACGATTCATTTTGTTTAAGATATATTTAGCTTACATAAATCTAATTAACATTTTTTCACAATATTTTTCAGTATTTTTTACTCATTACTGAAAAAAGTGGAATTTCCGCGGTGTAGAAATTATCGCTATTTTCGTGTTGTGTACAAAAGCACAACATATATCAACACGCAAATATGTGTAGATTATATATAGATACATAGAATATATAGATTTCGGAACCAATGCAAACTCAAAAAAAAATACCATACAGTGGATCGTTTGGAGTCACAACGCAAACATTTTTACACACGATAATTTCCGCTTTTACAGTATACACCGAACGTAGACGTATACTACTTCAGGTCTGGGATAGTTTTGATTAAATATACCTACTCATTGCAGCAGGGGGATGACTTCCACCAGGGGTACACGACGAGGAGCACAGCTATCGGCCTCTGTGATCCCTGGATCGATCTCCGGATGGACCAGAGTATACTTCCTAAACTAGAACAACCAAAACAAGGCAAAGACAAACCTAAAGCGTAAGTCTATTTTCAAAAAGACTGCGTGCTTAAAATTCACTGGCGTACATAAATTGATTTGATTGTTGATAGTTACTTTGATACTCATTGGACCGGTACATTAACATTCAGGAGCTTTAAAAAAAGATTGGTTATTATAATTGAATAAAATATTATTATAAACTTTATGTTAAAATAATTAGAAATACGAAGTAGAAAATTTTATTTGAAAACTTAGTAAATCGCTACAGACAGCCAGCAAATTTTGATGACGTAGACAATTCAAACGCATTTAAGTGACAGTTCATAGATTTGAAAATGTTTTTAAACAGTCACGATCTTATATTTATACTGTAGGTAAATATTTCTATTGAAGTGTTTAGTGTGCAATTCTCAATAAGCCCAAAATTTGAAATAGTATAAAAAAATCATTAAATTTTGATTAAAACTAATCATTTAAAAACTTCAAATATCAATTAGGCATTGGTTTAATTATGTATTTCTTTGTAATTGTGATATTGTAGGCAGAAGAAAAAGAAGGATGCTTCCCAGAAGGCGGGAAGCACAAGACTTCCTAAATTTCCAGTTGTCGATTTCAATGCTAAAAAGGAAAATGCCACGAGAAAGTTTCCATACAACGAGGTGGCCAAGTTTAGGTAAAAGTGATGCTAAAATATAAAGAAATTGAATGTGAAAATATTTGCTTGCTTAAAAATAAGTGCTGATTTGATAAAAACAAATCTAAAATATATGTATGTGTAAACTTGTATTGATGGTTTAATTCCTGCGTCCCCAACTTACGATGTTTCATGTCGAAGTTGATTCGGTACTCAAGAGCTTACTCCAAATATCATGACTTCCGTGAGATATGTCAACTGCTTACGGACCTTACTTAAAACACACGGTTTCCAAATATGAAAGTTGATGAAATGTATCGACAAGTTTTATGGCCGCCATCATACTCTCGCAGAGAAATATGCCATGTCTTTGTTTGATATGAAGGTCGATGATTTTAGTATGCTCACTAGAGTGTCTTGTGGTTTTATTGTCACCGTCAGAGTTTTCTTTTGAGGACATGGTGTACTTGTATTTTACCAAGATTAACATCACGAGTTTCGTCGATGAAGCAGATGACGCTTAACCTTCCGGAACACGTGGTCTTATTTCGTGTACGTTTTCAAAGTTCTTCGTGTAAATCTTTGCTTTGTTTATATTTTGCCCTAGTTTTGTCGGTATTGAGCTCGAATTATGTTTTTTTTATACTTGTTGACACAGTATCCAATCTTGGTTTTTTAAGAAAGAAGCCTTCATTTTTTACCATGATGATTTTTTGTTTACAGGACTGAATTGAAGGGCAGGTTTAGCTCTAATGCCCAGAAGAAGGTTGATATGGACTACCAACGTACAAAGGATGATTTCTACCGGATGGACCTTCATAGACTAGACGAAGTACATCCGCTCAACCGTCCGCACATGCGCAAGACATATTTTGCTTATCTTCAAAACACTCCCGGGTCACGAAAAGCTGTTAAGGATTGTGTCAAAACGTTGGATACTGACGAATCAGGTCCACGACAGGATACACCTTTGGAGGAAAAACAACACCAACAGGCTGTGGCCAGCAACTGAGATACGTGGAATATTGTGTATAATGAGCACGAGCACAATAGTCGTGGTGACGTGACTGTGAACATATGTGACGTCACGACGGTAATATGTGACGTCATGACAGTACATTTTTATTGGCATCTCAGTCATTGTCAAACTACCTAGATCTAATATAGATCTATACAATATGACATTGTACAACCTTTCCAAGCATAAATGTGATAAAGAGAATGACATAATAGTTTTTCAGTATACAATTTATACAAAGATGTTATAATTCAAACAGTATTCATTCTTGTTCTTTCTTTTTTCATACGAAAACTCGTGTATTCTGAAATGCCAAATGTCGTATATTTTATGTGCAAAATTAAAAAAATATTGTGTAAAGTAAGGGGACACAACTCTTGATTTGAATTTTTGAAATTATATTTACCGTGGTGAGAGTCGATATTCGCATTTTATAGTAATATCAGCGATCGTTAAATAACCATTTTTACCAAAAAAAAAAAAAAAATAAAGAAGATCCACGGCTCACTGCACTCTGGGATTTTTTTATATATGGTTAGCCTCCCCTTTAGTTCGTTTTTGACATAATCTAGCACATTTTGGTCAGAACACTTCCGGTGACTAAGTAGCTTAATCGGTCAGAGGGACAGTGTAATGATCCTTGGTCAGGGGTTCGAATCCTGCTCTGGTCCCACTGAATTTTTAAACTCAGAACACTGATGTTGATTATATTCTGTCTTTTTCCATTCTTTGGTGGGTTTTTTGTTCAAGTCCCGCAAAGCTGTAGTCATACCGGAAACAGTTTCCAATGTGTAGTCACAGTTTTTGTCAGTGGTACAAGCATCCTTAACAAAAATATTTCTTTCAAACGTCACTTTATATGTGCAATTGTAGGCTCCTTTAGATACATGTATGTAGAGGTCGACAATCATCTTCATTATATGTAAATCACAAGTGTGATTGGAGAACACTTAGAAGTAGAAAGAAAATCACGGGCAGAATAATATATATATATTACATGTTAATTATTATATTTGAGATACAGTTGAACCTCGTTATACTGCCACCATTTGTCCAGAGGAAGTTTACCGTTATAAAGGGATTTGGCGATAAATTGAGGTAAATGGATAAATGAATTATAAAATAAAGAAAAAGTGCCTTTGAAACATGTTGGCGGTGAATGAGGTGTCAAATGAAACAAGGGGCATCATTTCGAGGTTTTACTGTATTCATATTTTATACCTTTTTAATACATTATGTACTGTAAGCATACTAATTTTAGCGGTATTTTGATTTTAATGGCTTTTAACCTACGTCCTATGCACTAATTAATGACAACATCTAAACTTAAACCATTTAATACATCCCTACGATAGGATTCAATTTTTTTACGGTACATTGACAGCAACTCACTTGCAAAGATATATGAAAGAAAAGTTTCATTATGTTCTAAGGTTCTCGTCGACCTTACCTGGCTTGCTGTTCATTTGGCTTTGTTCTCATATGCCCACTGTACAAGGAAAAGGCATTTGAGCTTATTAATTAATTTGGGAACTGTTATTCCATAGTTAAGACTGCGAAAATAAGTTTCACCCTCCGCGTTTCGCCAAAATTTGAGTTCGCTAATATAAGTTTTCTTACAGTATATATTGCTAAGATATGCTCGCTTATTTTCTGTGATATTTCCCAAGGTTATTTATACGTTGTGCTTTGCTTAAAATCTGTCTGCCTATTACACCGTATAGTGTTTTTTCACAAAGATTATACTAAATGTATACTAAAGTATATAACTATTGTATATGGTACCAAGTCATGCATTACTGCGACGCCCACATGAAAATGTGCCTTTTTCTAAATGTAGATTATTTGCCATTCTGTTTTAATTGTTCAAAAGTCTTGGACGCATAGAAATATGTCAGTTCATACATGTGCTTAAAACATGCCATTTGTTTTTAATTTATTTTTTATTTAAGTGATCTTTAAATAAATCTGTGCTAAGTTTAATGTAAGGCCATTCATCTTGTGGTACTACTTTCTCTACATTGTTTTCAAATATTTGTGTGTTTGCCCAAATTTCCATACATGATATATTTTTGTTAGTTAATTGATAACTGCCCAGGTGTATGTGGTAACAAGTTTGTTTACATATGCGTGGATTATAATATCCTCATGAATAGAGTTTATACTGTTGTAAAATGATAGATAAATAAACCGCCCTATTCCTTATATTTCACTCGTGTTTGTTTTCTATTTAATTTGCTAACTGCTCGTTAAAAGGGGACAAATATGTCTGATGCACAGTTTTCATATTTCTCAATTATGGACTTATCTTATTAGTCGTCGTCCGTATAACTTTCTCAGGTCCGATTTACCACATTTTCACCGAAATAAATGTCCTTAATTGTTATAATAGATGCTTAATAGAGAATATTAATGTCTTTTTCTATAACACAACCAGTATCAACCCTCGACCAATATCAGTCCTCGGGCCTTCGGCCCTCGGGCTTATATTGGAGTCTCGAGTTGATACTGGGTGTTTATTACATACTTACTAATAAAATACAGATATATCTACTATCTTATGATCTATTTTTCTTTTAAAATAATTAAAAACTAAAAAAAGCATAAAGTGCTAACGATAAACACAACAATACCTCGATTATGATATATTTATTACATTGGTATTCTTGTTTCTCATGTTTGAAACCAAGCCGTATGTGTCGTTTTGCTAACGGTGAGAGCATGAGACTGCTTCCTCTGCCACCACATCGTCAATCGAACCAGTAACGGCAGACAATGGGTTGATCAATCAGATATTCTAACTCAATAATCCTATTGGCAAGAGACTCCAAAGTTCGCTCCCCCATTCGTTGCCGTTTTTCAGCATCAGCCATATTTGAACTGTTGGTAAACAAGGGTTCCGAATGACGTTGTTGGTGGTAGAAGGGAAAAAAATAGAAGTATTCCAAAAGAGTTGTGATACAGGTTTTGCAGGCTAATATGGGTTTTAGGATGTGATACGGCGGGGGCTGATACGGGGTTTGGGGGGTAGTACGGCGAGGGCTGATACGGGTTTTGGGGTGTAATACGGCGAGGGCTGATACGGGTTTTGGGGTGTAATACGGCGAGGGCTGATACGGGTTTTGGGGTGTGATACGGCGAGGGCTGATATGGTTTAGAGCAATTGCGTAGTATCGCATATGCAAAAAAACGTATTTCTTAGTAAGAATGTAACAAAGTCTTTTAATCACTAAATAAGGTGGAGTAAAAAAAAGTGTATGAGGGAAAGTTCTGCATTTGGCAGAGAGTATTGTGACGTAACAATTGGAATTCTGTCAAAAAGGGTTATTTACCTGCTGTTTCTGAAAGAAGTAACACCCATCCTCGATATCCAGGGGTTACGCTCACTTTCGCTCTCTGCACCCTTGGAATATGTTATAGCAAAATTGAAGGCTCAGTGTGTACCACCTTGTTGATGTGACAAGAAGACTAGTTCGATCCTTTGATGTACATCAAAAGAATCTCGCAGTCGCGTAACGGTAAAAAATGACAGGCTTTGAAGACCAATCAAGCAGCTATGTTCGTACCTTCAATTTTTCTATGACATATTCCGGGGGTTCAGAGAGCTTTAGTGAGCGTAACCCCTGGATATCTAGGATAAGTAACACCAATTCAATATCAACGACCTCTACGTGATTATAAAGTAAATAGGATTTGGCACAAGTTATTTCCTACATTTTGACAATGATAATTTAACTGACATTCAATATGGTAGATGATGAATAACGGAAATAAATAATTATTATATAGATACCCTTTATACATACTATGTTTAATATATATTAATTATTATTCTATAATATTGATTGATATAGGAATAAGTTGAAACTTAAAATGTCTTAATGTAAATGTAACCAATTGTACTTTGTGCATGTACAAAGTACACTGGGTTACATATTCCCCTCCTTCAGAGAAATGTGTCCCACATTTACTTCCGTCATCACCAGGAAACTACCTAAGTTAAACCAAAATAATTTTATTTATCATGCTAACTATTAGTATTTATAACTTAATTAAATTGATTGTATCATAGCCATACCATGACAGGAGCACTCCTGCAATACAAACATAGCAGCACATACATTTCCCTCTGCAAGAGAAATAAACATATACATTAATTAATTACACACGTTGAACAATATTCCCACTAAATACCTCCTTGATCAGCAACGACCAGCATATTGAGTAAATAGAATTGAAATATCAACATACTGTCCCTCTATACTGACAACTCTGGTACATAGTTTATTATAAATACTAACAGTGGTACAAAAATGTACTATCTATTTACATATTTAATCACACATTCTCCAGGAAAAAGCACAAACCCTATTATCCAACATAATTGGTATACCTCTGTTAAAAACAGAACAGGGCTTAATTATTATAAAAGTTCATACATGCTGCAGATGTACACTTATTTTTATATTAATATCACTTATATTTCATAAACCCTGCAAATGTACACAGTACATTTATATTTACATGTCACACATAGATTTCCTCTCGGTTTGTTATCATTTGAGAATAAACCCACCGACCAAACCATTCTGGAGGTTTTTTTCTGTCTTTGAGAAACAGTATTGGACCCAACATCTTGTATCCTGTCATCAGCACCACTGATACTACATGTAGTATCACCCGTCACCTCACCGCAAGCTTCTTGGTGGTTTATATTGGTTCTGTCAATTCTTCGAGAAGTTACATTAGACGAATCCTCTCGTATTGACGGCGAAAATAACATGGATGGGGTGTTCTCTCATGAGATAACCTAGGCATACGTCTCTCTGGACCTCTGTTCAAAGGAGATAACCCTGGTTTATTTCTCCTCTGAGGGATCACATAATAAAGAGAACCCTGAGAGCTATCCGATTTGGAGTCTGTAAGGCCCTGCTCAATATCAGAGTCCTTACCAGTAGTAAGCCATCTGACTCGTTTTGGTGTGACCTTGCGGTTGACCTCCAGCTCTGGCTCCTCTGAGTTTAGTGGCATATGTGTTATGATTTGCACCCTTGTCCTGGTTTGGAGATTTTAACCCTAGGAACGCATCCACAGAAAAGCCTACCAAATCATTCTTAGTAGCATTATAGGCCTGAACAAGAGGTGCGGTATAGTATGTCCAGTCAGATTTCCTGTCTTCTTTTCCAATGTGGATAGCATTTTGATTAGAGTTTGGTTGAATCGCTCAACCGAACCATGGTCCTTGGGTTGATATGAGTTAGTTCTTGTTTGTTCACTCCTGCCAGTTTGCACAGCTCTTGTTTGTTCACTCCTGCCAGTTTGCACAGCCCCTTAATTACCCCACGCTCGAAATTTCTACCCTGATCACTGTGTAATTTCTCTGGAAAACTGTAGTACACAATAAAGTGTTCATAAAGTGCTTTGGCTGTGGTATGAGCTGATTGGTTGCGACAGGGAATAACCTGTGCATACCTGGTGAAATGATCTGTCATCACCAACACATTCTCAAACCCTCCTTTCGACTTTTCCAGACTCAGGAAGTCGATGCACAACAGTTCAATGGGTTTAAAAGTTTCTATTGGGACTAAGTCTGCCACTGTTATCACTGGAGTTCGCAAAATGCAACGCTTACATAGTTCCACCCAGGCGTTCACGTCATTGTCAAGACCTTGCCAATATAATCTAGGTTTTGCCAGCCACAATGTTTTCTCTCTGCCCTGATGACCTACGTCGTCATGGACCCCACTAAGCGCAAACTGATGATAAGCTGAAGGGAGCAGTTATTTTTTCACCTCTTCACTCTCAACACTAGCGATTTTATAGAGAATGCCATTTTCATAAGAATGGCGTTTTCTTTCTTGAAGAAATTTAAGGACCTGTGTAGGATCTTTCCTACGTACTGCTCTCATGGGAAAGGATCGTTAGTGAAGAGCTCGATAACTCTTCCTGTCACGCTATCTTGCTGTTGGACAGCCTCCCAGTCCACTTTGCCAAATTCCTCCCCTACTCCTGCCTCCTCCTCGGCCGTAGGAAGGACAGAGTCTTGGGATAGACACTCGGCCAATGGAACCGACACTAGAGTTGCTTGACAAATGACTCTCACTTCCTCTGAAAATAGCTAAGGCTTGCGTGACAAACCATCAGCCTCAGCATTCAACCTGCCTTCTCTATAGTTGATGGTGAAATCATAGCTTGCTAGTGCTGGGACCCAGCGGTGACTTGTAGCATCCAGCTATGCTTTTGAAAGTACATAAGTTAATGGGTTGTTGTCTGTTATCCCTTCAAATTTGGTACCACAGAGGTAGTAATGGAATTTGTCAGTGACTGCCAACTTAAGAGCTTAGAACTCTAACCTATGTGCTGGGTAATTTATTTTCACTGGGTCCGAGACCACGACTAGCATAGGCTATTACCCTCAGCTTATCCCATTGTTTTTGATATAGCACCACGCCAAGACCAGAACCACTAGAGTCAGTATGAACTTCAAAAGGCAATGAATGATTAGCATACCCAAGTACAGGGGTATTTACTAGCATTTTTTTGATTGCATCAAACGCGTTCTGCTGAGATTCACCCCAAACCCACTTTGCGGGTTCTGGCTTGATCTTGTCATCGGGCTTTTTTTTCCTTGGTGTAAGTACCATGGCCTTTTAACAATGAGTTGAGAGGTTCGACAATTTTTGAATAGTTCTTGATACACCTTCTATAGTATCCTAAAAACCAAAAAATGTCTAAGTTCTTTAATATTTTTGGGCTCGGGCCAGTCTGTTACTGCCGAAGTTTTTTCGGGATCTGTTCTAATGCCATCCTCAGACACTACATGTCCAAGGTAGGTGACACTAGTTTTAAAAAGTTCACATTGTGATGCCTTTTATTTCGGACCATGTTGTTCAAGTTTGGAAAACACTGATTCTAACCTTTTAAGATGGTCATCAGAAGTTTTAGAAAATATCAGTATGTCATCTATCTTGAACATGTAGTGTCTGAGGATGGCATAAGAACAGATACATGTATACGCACGTAGCCAACCTACGTACTGTGTTGTAAAGTCAAGAGACCTTGACATTGTCCTATGTTGTTATGCTATTTAAATGTCTGACACTGACCTGGACTTTGGACAGTACGCAATGCGACAAATTACATAAATAGCTTGAATGGTCGGAACACATATTGCACGCTTCAATTCCCCACTGTTCTTCCTTACTAACTTCCTGTTCAGCTGACCACCCCAATATGTGAGTCAGTATGTGTCTGGCTTGCGAGGGCGACACCTCCCCTAAGCTAATTCCTCTAGATGAGATTTACACATCCTCACAGAGATCGGAGAATATTAAATGAAACACCGTATAGTCTGGAAAGTAGAGTGCGTGTGTGCGTTTGTTAAGTCATGTTCTACTTTCGGCTTCTATGCATATTGTCCGCGTTATAGTCTGTTTCATTATTCATGGTGTAAGAGTGTGTTTGTATGTTAACAGGTTTTTCTTGTACGGAAAATAAAGAACCAAACTTACAACGTCTTATCGTTAATTGAAAATCGGTGGAGCCAATGACTATCTATGTTACGTTTTCGAGCTGGAATATCTATAATAAATGAACCCATGGGCAAAATGACCTTAAGCGGGGACAAATGTTCCTTTCATTTCCTATAAAAAGTAATCTTGGGGAATTTACCTTTAAATGTTTACTTCGGGCATTGGTGACAAAACCTGTTCATACTTAAGTGATATTCATCAATTTAAATATCAAAAAACTTTAAAATAAAACAAACAAAGTCAAAAGCAACACAATAATAAAGCCGACATGGAATGAAAAACTCCATATGGATGTGTAATTAATTTAATTGCTTTTGTAATGAACAACGAAAAGCCTACGTGGAGCAGTCGCCAGGTACTGACCGTAGGTAGGCAATTTTTCTCCGGGAACTCTGGTTTTCCTCACCCACCAAAACATGGCACGTCCTAAAATGACCATAGCTGTTGATAGGACGTGAAACACATATAAACCAAACCAAACCAACGAAAAACAAAAGACGAAAGAAAAATCAACCAATGAATTTCACTTCATGAAATAGTTTATTGGACATATTTACATGGTAACTCACTACAATAATATTTTCTATATAATATCTATATACAACGATAAGATTGGCGTAAAAAGACAATAGCCGCATAGTGCTATAAAATTCACGAATTCTTTAATTCGAGGGTGTAAACATGCTATTTCAATCAGTTTTATCAATTATCAAAACAAATCTTTCGCGTATATAAAGTAATTTACAATTTTGTAGTTATAAGGTTGTTTCTATCAAAACGGAGTATATGCAGGCCTATTTAACGTCTGCGGTCAGCTTCTACGGTAACTAACTCCCGTTTTTTAAAATTTATTTTTGTCAATTTAGAAACGTCCATCTAAAACATGGAGTCCTATTGTTTTGCCATTCTAGGACTTGTTCGAGCATGACGGATTGTTCATCAAAGAAAGGTTATTGTATGCATCGCAGAGTTGCCGCAATGTATTTATTTGCATACATTTTGCAATTGGTACAAATACTGTTATAAGCTGGTTTCGCCCAGTTGATATTAAGTACACGTCTGCATAAAATATGCAGTAATGTTTCAATGAAATCGAACAAGATGAAGTGACGTAAAGCATGCTATATGTGTGTTGTCCGATTAAACTAATAAATAAATAAATCACCACTTTTTATTTACAGTAAAATGTTTAGAATACACAATTCCGTCTTTGCGTATTGCAGAGTCATCTTCTCTTGTGAGCAGGTATTGATTGTTACGTCATTGGTTTGTGTGAGAAAATTACGTCGTTTTCTCAAAAATTGATGACGATACTCTCACAAACAAATGACGCAACAATCAATATCTGCTCACAAGAGCAAATAACTCTGCAATACGAAAAGACGGAATAGCATAGTACTGATCATTCATAAACATAGCTATATAATTATACTCGGTAATTTATATATACTTATAATTGCATTATGGCGGTCAGGTGGCGCTTGGATACCGCACTCGCCTTTTACCAAGATGGCTAAGGTTAGATTGCCTGATCAGATGTGAAATGGTATTTGGTTCATCCACCCGACATCTTGGGATTTCTCCGATTTCTGTCAAAAAGAATTATTTACATGTGCAATTTGGAAAAAAAATGTTTCATTATAGTTGTAAAATACATTATGCTTATAGTTTTTAGATATTCTACAGAGATATGTTGCACAAATTACGCAGAAATCAATTTCACAAATGCTACTTTAGAATGTTATTCTGACTTGATATTGCATTACTAGACATGTAAAGTACCATTGGTCACAAAGACAGCTAATGACTAGCATACATTTTTTGTGTTTTTAACAATACATGTACAACACACACCAAAGAAAAATATCGAAAAACACTGGGCGAGCACGAATCATTAGCCTATAAATAGAATGATCACATGACGTTTTTCTATTTTGAGATGTTCAATAATAACGCAGTTTTCAATCATAAATGTAATATTTTTCATATATATATAAACGTAATATCAATAAAACTAGTATTTGTATGCACAAAAAAATATATACAAATCTTTGCATTTTTCGACCATAATGCATTGCATTCCATAAACAAAAGATAACATGGAGTCTTGCGAACTACAATGGAAACAAAATCTACATTTATCTTCAAAACACAAGGACAAAATGTTAATCAAGTCAGTCAACATTAAATAACAACATAAAAATTTGAGTAGACACCAAACAAAAAACTCATCATGAAACCCCACGACAATGAATCGATACAAAATGTTCCGAAAGGACACTCCCATTTGCACCACATACGGCACTCCTCATGATGTTTCCAGTAAAATTAAGGAAAAATTTAGGTCCCCAAAGATTATATAAAGTTATATATAAACAATTTTTCCATTAGGTATAAAATTAAATCCCATTTTGCTAAGATCAGAATGATAAAATAAAATGTGTATAAGTATATATAAGACAGAAAGGGGTACCTACATGTCACAAGTACACAATATTGGACTACAATGTACTATGTTTTAAATGCAGACAATAATACAAATAATTATGTACATATATTATAAGTCTATGAAACATGTTTACATATTAAAATACCACGATAGATATTTATATTTAAAGGCAATTATATATATATACAAAGCATAATATAAATTAACTAATCATAAACTAAATCAATAAAAAATAATAGATATGACATCACTGCAAGTAAATAAAATGTATCTTATGTATTTGTTGTGAAATGTTTAATATTTCAACAGATGCACCTAGTAGATAATGATAAATAAATATCACTTTTCTAGTTCATTTTAAATCATCATTTTTATTTTGCACGGCAATCTATTTAGGTGAAATATTCTAACAACAGTCAACATAATTAGTTTTTAAAGTAAGTTTGCATTTCGTATGTTCTGGATCACTTTCTGTTGTTATTTGTCAGGGGAAAAAATCAGTGATTTCTGGTTACGAAATAACTCACTAAACTTAGCGATACATCTTACATGAGTTTCCATTTCATATGAAATTTATGAAACGAGTCTAAGAATTTTTCAATTTAGCGAGCCTCTTCGTGACGAGTTTCATAAATTTCATATGGAATGTAAACGAATGTAAGGTCCTTTTTTATCACATAATCAAGATTTGTGGCCTTTATTCGTGTGAAACGACAATTTTTATGCAACCTTGAAAGGTACAAAGCCGCCATTTTGACTCCACTGCGTAAGTCTGTGACGTCATGTGCTTGTCGTAGGCGTGATGTCACAATTGAAACAATTGAAACTTACGACCAATCATAGGGCTGATAGGTCATATAACATGGGTTAATACGCAAAAAAATATGACTTGGGTATATTCACTGGATAACACAGTACATTATGTGATAAATATGAAAATCAAATTTAAGGTTCATACCCATCTGGAATGCGAAAAAGACCATCTTAAATTTATTAACATATTCATATATAATAACATATTATTAGCATATATGAATATCTATTAATAGGTGAAAATTATTTTAAGTGTCATTTCATTTTACCGATATGTGATATGGATAATATATCGGACACATGTTAGGATTTCTCTCAATTGCAGAAAGAGTGGATACATGTATTACGGATTGCTATTTTCACGTTGTAGTTGGGGAAATGGGGTTTTCATAAATTTTGTTTCAATCAGAACAGTGATACTTAAGGTACTAAAACATTAAACGGTCGTGTTCATTTCGTTGAAACCGACAAAATAACACTGTTGCAATAATAAATCAAAACTGAATTCACTTTCATGAAAAAAGTCATGTCCAGGTAAACTGTTAATTAAATAGTGTCATTGTTCTCCTCAGTTTACACCTGTACGAACTGGTGAGGTGGAAGGTATTGTTCGCCTCAGTTTACACCTGTACGAACTGGTGAGGGGGAAGTTATTGTTCTCCTCAGTTTACACCTGTACGAACTGGTGAGGTGGAAGAGGTTCTCGGAGTTGTATTTTTTAAATGAGGATCGTCTGATACAAGTTGATCTACACAATCTTTAACGGCCTTTTTGGCTCCGGGGTTATTCTGAAGGTAGGCAAAGTAGGCTTTGCGCATGCCCGCTCTGTTTGAGGGATGAACTTCCGATAATTTGTGTAGTTTCATTAAGTAGAAGTCCTTCTTCGTTTTCTTGTAGTCCTCGTCCACTCGTTTGGGAGAGTCGATGTCATACTGTTGATGCATCTTCTCCCTGTACAAGATAACAGAGTTTATATAACATTTGGATAAAATTGAGGTCGCAAGTAACCTCCCCCTTGTTTTACATTATTTAATTACTTTTCTTTGCAATTTTGGTATGAATTATTTCACAAAATTAGAATGTATCATAAAGTTATATTTTCAGTTAATTAGATAATCAAGTTTTTAACCTAGAACCAGGAAAATGGAATGTTTTGTGGTGTGCGAATGTTCGCGTTTTCAGGGTTGAGTTAATTAGTGCAAACAATCCATACGCAAATATTTATCTATAAATTAAATAGATTATAGATATATAGCTTATCAAGATATCTGGACCATTGCCAATGAAAAAGATTTCCAAACCGCGATCAGTTTAAAGAGTAACAACGCGAAATCAATAGAACGGTTGATTTTTAGAATGGAAATTTATATTGTTGCTTTCAGTTTTAGAACTATTTAAGGCGCATTCGAGAATTTTCCGATCAATTGATAAGGTGGTATATATTTATATATATAACACAGTATATAAACGCAATTATAAAAATGTATATACATTTTTATATTTACACGAATTTAACCTAGGAATATAATTACTCCGTATACAGTTTTTTTTGTAAAATCATTGCTATTCCTTATGTTATTCAATTTAAAACAACACATATGAACTTGTTTACCTGAAACGCGGCACTCCACTGTAAGGGAACTCTTTTGTAGCATTGTCGTTTACGACATCAAATTCTACTTTATGGATCTCCGGAAGTAGAATTCTCCCTCTCTCAGGAGAATAACTCCCCCTGAAAATTAAAATGTAGATTTATGCTGTAAATATATCATATTATCGTAAATGTTTTAAGGAGTTGTTTGTGCTGATTTTAAACCGCTGATTAAAGGATGACGTCACAAAATGGTTCTACAGCTTACCGGGTAATATTCGCTGCAGTTTTAGACATTTGTTAATCCGATGGTTCCATTTTCGGTAACGTTATCTTATCTGCACCCTTGGAATATCTCGTGACAATATCGGAGGTACGCGGTAAGTACCTGAAAAATTGCGCTAAAACCTGGTACAATGTACCTTTGAGGATTGTTTACGAGTTTCATCCGGACAACAAAGACTGTCAATTTTACCGTCACTCTGCAGCGCAATTCCTTTGACCCCCGTGAAATGACGATTTGGTTTAAACATATTTTATTGTTTAAATAAAAGGATTGGACACAAGTTATTTCAACTCATTATGACGTAAAATGACGATTCGCAAGATGTCGTGTAAAGGGCCATCACTTTTGTCATAACGTATTCCAAGGGTGCAGAGAAGATATTTGTATATTTGAGTCGAGGGCGAAACCTTTTGATTGGGATGAAATTCCCCGCTTTACAGTAGACCCGTTCGAGGTTTTTCTTACCTTAAGTACCCAAAAGTTTACATTTATCAACATATCGTATTGTGTCCTCGAATATGTTACATGTTATAAGCGTAATTGTTAACTCCAAGGTACAGTATTTTATTACGCATGTAGTTTTACAGCAACATCAAATTATTTGTGATGAAATATGATAAGAAAAAGTAGATATTGGATCACATCTACACTGAAAGTGTGAAGTTTGATATCATAAAATGTTAAACAGTCAAATATTGGACATTTCGGATTCTGATAAATACTACACATATACATCCGGGTCAAGGAGTTATGCATCGATAACTGAACTTCATTTGTGTGTTAGAAATAGTGTGTTGATAAAGCACTAAACATTTGAGATTATTCAAAGATTGAAGAGCAGACCTTTTGAAACAGTTCCGTTCAAACTTTTTCCGATGGTGGCATTTCTGTTAGGCCACAAACGCCTTCGGGAGTTTCCGTCAATGTTTGGAATTGACGTCACGAGCCTTCCTTTCAAGAAAATAAAAGATTCAGAAACTTACCTTGATGAATATGTCTTGGAGGATTTCTGTCTATGCGCATGCCTACTATGATGTTGTGAGATGGACGTCCGAAGGGCAGCCTCGTTATAAGCGGTCCGGTACGGGCTTCTCTCGCGGCGTCTGTTAATGATGAACGTAAAACACTTATCTGATTGTACCTATAACATTCGGAACAAGCTACAGTACACCGAAACTGAGTTAACTGCACGTGCACCACACAGCTATAATGTTCTTCTTTGGCATGTACTGAAGGTAACCTATTTGAAATAAGATTTGCAAATATTTGCAAAGTTTTCTGAAAATCCACTGAAACTGTTGAGCTTCAAACTTTCAATAAATGCCAATTTTACTTACTTTGAATTAGCCGATAGATTTCTTGGTAGTTTTATTTTTGTTTCTGGTTCCCTGAAAATAAAACAAACAAATAAATTTGAAAATAATTCTCAATGTGTGTGCTTCAAAATTATAGAAAGGCATTTGTAACTTAACTAAAACATTAACACAACGGGGGAATACCGAACTGTTAACCAACCCGTTATTAAACCTCAAAATCTATAAAACATTGGCGTGATACAAACAAAGGAAAATGTTATGTTAATTTAACACCAGGTGTTCCAGAAAGGTAAGCATATTGGTAATCAACAACACATGTCATGTAAATCTAGGTCAAATCTAAGAATTTCGCGTCTTCAAAGCGATAGCGGGTGAATGACGACGAATCATCAAGGCAAACTAATAAGCATAATAAAAATAATAATATTACAGATTTAAGTGATAATTATCGACGCTGGTATTATCTTACCCCTTTGTATTTTAAGGTGCTGTCTTAAAGTTATATTCTATCGGATTGTGAGGACACATCTTTAAGGTGCGATCGAACACATGCCTTTCAAGTGTACTTATCTATTACCTTTTTTTATCGAATTGGTTGGATTAACCAAACAAGCCATCTGGTAGGGGTGTACGGTGGTTTGTACGTGTACATGCTAGCGTTTACTTACTTCTTACTATTCTCCTGTTGTACATTTGTCCCATTTACATTTTCCTCTGTTAGTGTGCTGGAACAAACGGGTGTGGATACAATAAAACAGTGCAAAGTAGGATTCGTGGTAAACCTGAGGACGTTATGAGGAAATTAATGGATAGGATAAAGAAGTGATGTTAACAAACAAAACAGGAATAAGTAATTTGGAACGTTACACTGACATAAACAAATATGTTAATAATAATAAATAAACATCGCATTTATAAGAAGTTTTGACAACCTATGTATATCAGGTAGTCGATAGTCAAGGCTTTCGAGGGCATTATATTTCAAATTCGATTAGAAATGTATTGCTTTTTCCTCTCAATGTTTTATATAATGAAGCTACAACACATACAATGTATATATAGAGAGATTACCAAACGGCAAAATCGAAAGAGAGAGAGCTGGTCGTATTAGACAGGTGTTTGATATAAAGCGAAAGGCGGCTGAAATTGAGAACTGGCTCTTAAAAGTCTATTATAGTTTTGTAAGATGTTGGGAGGAAATTCCTTCATTTGGCAGATAATCAGTGTAACCTCACGATTGAAATGACGTCATGAAATTAATATTGACCTGCTGTTTCTGATAAAAAAAAAAAGTAAATATCCGAGTCAACAACACAAATCAGCGACCTACACGTAATTATGATCCAAGCATTATGGATGCTTACGGTGATATAAATTGATTAAATTGTTGAAAATAAATTGATGATTTTGTGTTTATTTCCACGAACTTTATTTTTTTGCCGGGAACGGTCGCGTGAATTTTATTTTACTAAAAGAAAAACTTAAATTAAAAACGGAAATATAAGTATTAAACTGCCTTCTTTGGAAAGTAATTGTCCTATAACTCTCACAGGATTGCGGACAAATTGAATAACGCTATCCCAAAATGGCAGTTTAATGCTTAATTATTATGAATTAAAGATAACATTTTACGAAGTTCCCATGCAACATGGTGCTTCACATCACACAACAAAGAGTGTATACGTATTTACCTGTAAGATTGCGGTCGTCGACTTTGACCTTGGGCATCCTCCTCACTGAAAAAATAACGTATAATTCAAAGTTTTGACATCACAACAATATTGAGAGGTTAAGGATGTCAAATGCATGCGCTATTGGAACATAGCAGGTTATGACGTCTAGTACATATGCTATACAAGTAGTGACGTCACATACACAACATTTAGTGACACAGCAGGTAATGACGTCACATACATAACCCATAGTGACACAGCAGGTAGTGACGTCACATACACAACTTTAGTGAAAAAGCAGGAAGTGACGTCACATACACAACCTACAACAGGTTAAATATCTTGGTATTATATTGGACAACTTTTTATCTGGAGAACAAATTGTCCAAAGGGTTAAAAAAAAAAGTGAACTAGAGATAGTGGTTTCTATATAAACACAGCGACTGTCTCACTACTAGATCTAGAAAATTCTGGTGTCGTCACTGATACAATGTCATTTTGACTATGCTTCTTGCTGCTGGTTCGAAAGCTTATCCAAAAATCTTCGACAAATACTTTAAATTACCCAGAATAAAGTGGTCAGATTTATTTTGAAACTTAACAACAGATCAAGAGTCACCGGGAATTGGAACAAGCTAATATGTTGGATGTTGGGGGCAGGGTGAAACAGCTCCGTTTTAACCATGTCTTTAATATTCAACATAACAAATGTCCATCCTATATGAAGGAATATTTTACAAGAACAGAGAAAAAACACTTTACCAGGAACAGTGATCTGAATTTCAACATTCCTTAGCTAAAAAGGTGTGGAATCGTCATCATTTTTCTATAATGCTATATCAAAGATTGGAATAACTTGGGACATTCAATAAACTCGGTAGATCACAAGGTGAAATTCAAAAGTGCGATGAAAAAAGTACTTAAAAGATTTGGCAAAAACTGATTTTGAGCAAGATTTCATCTTCTAAAGTTAATTTTTATTCTATCCTAGTAGGTGACTTCAAACTTCTTCCAATAAATATATGTATTACCAAAACTTTAACTAAAGTACTACTTTGCAATGTTTTAATTTTCAACCTCATTCAAATGACGATGGAATTTTGTTCCAGTTATCCTATTTTTGGTGACTACCAATTCAATATGTATTTTTTTTAAATGTTACGGAAGATTTTATTACCATTATCCTCAGTCTTTATTTTATAAATAAGTTCATTTTTATATATATGTATTATATCCCAAACTGAGATAATTTGATAGACAGAAATTATGTTGGTAGGGATTGGCCCAACCTACTGTCGTCTGTTCTACACACAGGTAACACAGTATAAATGTATATGGCCTAACACCATCTAATATTGTTACACGATATCTGCAAGAATAACATCATTTGCATTGTGATATGTACAGTAATACATATAATTGATAGTTTTAATATAACAAGTGGAAATAATATCTTGCACAGTCCCACATATATATATATATAGAAGGCTGTCATATTTTCTAATGATATGTAAAACACAACTCCATCTTATACTGTCAAATACTTTAACATCTTATTCGACGAAATAATATAACTTATTTTGGTGTAGTAATATGACATCTTATTTTTGTGGAATATTATAACATCATCATATTTGACCAATCAGTACCACTTATTCTATTCATATTATTACGAGAAATTATACCATCTTATAATGTCATGTTTTAGGACCTTTTGTTGTCTAGGTAATAACGATCCTTCGAGAGGACCCCATTGGAAATAAGCTGCCACCCAGCTTACATGGGATATCCTTGGTAAAGCTTAGTCATCATGCAGATACATTGTATTTATAGTGCTCCAAAATTTGTGATATTAACCTTCAGGTGATTATGTAAATACTGTGATAAATCTGTGATTATTAAACAATTGAAACTGTGATCACATGTGACATTTGTACTTTTTTCATGCTTTTTACCTGAATAAATATTTCATTATTAGGTAGTGACGTCAAAAAACACAACCAATAGTAACACAGAGGTAATGGCGTCGTATACATATCCCATAGTGATCGATACATCAGGTAAATCATACTGGGCCACAGCTGATAATGACATCAAATGTTTTACACAGCAAATTTAAATCAGCGTCATTTTTATACCATCGAAAGCCCGTATAGCTCAGTGGTTAGAGCACTGGTCTCGTAAACCAGGGGTCGTGAGTTCGACTCTCACTGTGGGCAATACTACTTTTTTACAATTTTTTTTGTTATTCCTGTGTAGCTGCCAAATATAAAATAGTTTATTTACAATAAATGCAGATATCGCATAAAATTATCTTGTCTGCGTTTAATGATAAAAAATAGTCAGTTTAGCTCTGAACATCAATTTATAAATGTTTCGCCCCCTAGTTTTTCGATGCCAAATGTTTGGCCCTGTAAAGTCATTTTATGATGTTGTGTTAAGAGAAAGGGTTGGTTTGGTTTGGTCTAGTATTGTTTAACGTCCTAACAACAGCTATGGTCATTTAAGGACGGCCTTCCCTGTGTGCAAGATGCATGCGTGTAGTGTGTGCGTGTGTGTTTTGGGAGGCTGTGATATGTTCGTGTTTGTCTCCTTGCAATCGCGCGGAACTGATGCCGACTTTATAGTGCTACCTCACTGAAACATACTGCCTAAGATATGCGGTCCAATAATACTGAAACCGGCAAACCAGTCGTCCAACTCCTAAATTGCTGAGCGTTTTGCGGGAGTAGAAACTACCATTTTTACACACTCTGGTATGTCTCGGCCAGGGGACAGAACCCAAAGCCTTCCTCGCAGGGGCGAACGCTCAACTTAAGGCCAAAAGTGAGGCATTGTCAAGGGAAACATTAGGAAGAAGAAAGTTGTTTAGAAAGAAGAAAAAAGATAAGATCCCAAATTAACACAGCAAATTTAAACCAGCGTCATTTTTATACGTTAAAAAGCCCGTATAGCTTGACCAATCAGTACCACTTATTCTATTCATATTATTACGAGAAATTAAACCATCTTATAATGTCTTGTTTTTAGGACCGTTTGTTGTCTAGGTAATTACGATCCTTCCGGGAGGACCCCATTGGAACTAAGCTGCCACCCAGCTGTCATGGTATATCCTTGGTAAAGCTGCAGATCATCATGCAGATACATTGTATTTATAGTGCTCCAAAACTTGTGATATTAACCTTGATGTGATTATCTAAATATTGTGATAAATCTGTGATTATTATACAATTGAAACTGTGATCATTTGTGACATTTGTACATTTTCATGCTTTTACCTGAATAAATATTATTTTTAGGTAGTGACGTCAAAAAACACAACCAATAGTGACACATAGGTAATGGCGTCGTATACATATCCAATAGTGATCGATACATCAGGTAAATCATACTGGGCCACAGCTGATAATGACATCAAATGTTTTACACAGCAAATTTAAACCAGCGTCATTTATAACCGTAGAAAGCCCGTATAGCTCAGTGGTTAGAGCACTGGTCTCGTAAACCAGGGGTCGTGAGTTCGACTCTCACTGTGGGCAACACTACTTTTTTTTGTTATCTCTGTGTAACTGCCAAATATAAAATAGTTTATTTACAATAAATGCAGATATCATATAAAATGATCATGCCTGCGTTTAATGATAAAGAAATAGTCAATCTAGATCTGAACAATAACTTGGAAATGTTTCGCCCCATAGATTTTCGATGTCAGATGTTTGGCGCTGTAAAGTCATTTTATGATGTTGTGTTAAGTAAAAGGGTTGGTTTGGTATTGTTTAGTATTGTTTAACGTCCTATCAACAGCTATGGTCATTTAAGAACGGCCTCCACTGTGTGCAAGATGCATGCATGTAGTGTATGCGTGTGTGTTTTGGGAGGCTGTGATATGTTCGTGTTTGTCTCCTTGCAATCGCGCGGAACTGATGCCGACTTTATAGTGCTACCTCACTGAAACATACTGCCGAAGACACCCGATCAAATTATACTGACAACGGGCGAACCAGACGTCCCACTCCTAAATTGCTGAGCATTTAGCAGGAGTAGAAACTACCATTTTTACACGCTCTGGTATGAATAGGCCTGGGGACAGATTTTAAAGACTTCTTCAGAGGGGCGAACGCTCATCTAAAGGCCAAAAGTGAGGCATTGGCAAGGGAGACATTAGGAAGAAGAAAGTTGTTTAGAAAGAAGAAAAAAGATAAGATCCCAAATTTACACAGCAAATTTAAATCACCGTCATTGTTATACCTTAGAAAGTCCGTATAGCTCAGTGGTTAGAGCACTGGTCTCGTAAACCAGGGGTCGTGAGTTCGACTCTCACTGTGGGCAATACTACCTTTTTACAATGCTTTTTTGTTATTCATGTGTATCGGCCAAATATAAAATAGTTTATTTACAGTAAATGCAGATATCGCAAAAAATGATCGTGAACAAATAGTCAGTTTAGCTCTGAACATTAATTTATAAATGTTTCGCCCGATAGTTTTTCGATGTCAGATGTTTGGCGCTGTTAAGGCATTTTATGATGTTGTGTTAAGAGAAAGGGTTGGTTTGGTTTGGTTTAGTATTGTTTAATGTCCTATCAACAGCTATGGTCATTTAAGGACGGCCTCCCCTGTGTGCAAGATGCATGCATGTAGTGTATGCGTGTGTGTTTTAGGAGGCTGTGATATGTCCGTGTTTGTCTCCTTGTAATCGCGCGGAACTGATGCCGACTTTATAGTGCTACCTCACTGAAACATACTGCCGAAGACACCCGATCAAATTATACTGACAACGGGCGAACCAGTCTTCCCAATCCTAAATTGCTGAGCATTTAGCAGGAGTAGAAACTACCATTTTTACACGCTCTGGTATGTCTCGGCCAGGGGACAGAACCCAAAGACTTCCTCAGAGGGGCGAACGCTCATCTAAAGGCCAAAAGTGAGGCATTGTCAAGGGAGACATTAGGAAGAAGAAAGTTGTTTAGAAAGAAGAAAAAAGATAAGATCCCAAATTGACACAGCAAATTTAAATCAGCATCATTTTTATACCGTAGAAAGCCCGTATAGCTCAGTGGTTAGAGCACTGGTCTCGTAAACCAGGGGTCGTGAGTTCGACTCTCACTGTGGGCAATACTACTTTTTTACAATGCTTTTAATGTTATTCATGTGTAGCTGCCAAATATAGAATAGCTTATTTACAGTAAATGCTGATATCGCAAAAAATGATCATGAAAGAAAAGGTCAGTTTAGCTCTGAACATTAATTTATAAATGTTTCGCCCCATAGCTTTTGGATGCCAGATGTTTGGCGCTGTAAAGTCCTTTTATGATGTTGTGTTTAGAGAAAGAGTTGGTTTTTGGTTTGGTTTAGTATTGTTTAACGTCCTATCAACAGCTTTGGTCATTTAAGGACGGCCTCCCCTGTGTGCAAGATGCATGCGTGTAGTGTATGTGTGTTTGTTTTGGGAGGCTGCGATATGTTCGTGTTTGTTTCCTTGTGATAGCGCGGAACTGATGCCGACTTTATAGCGCGATCTCACTGAAACATACTGCCGAAGACACCCGATCAAATTATACTGACAACGGGCGAACCAGTCTTTCCACTCCTAAATTGCTGAGCATTTAGCACGAGTAGAAACTACCATTTATACACACTCTGGTATGTATCGGCCAGGGGACAGAACCCAAAGCCTTCTTCACAGGGGCGAACGCTCATCTAAAGGCCAAAAGTGAGGCATTGTCAAGGAAGACATTAGGAAGAAGAAAGTTGTTTAGAAAGAAGAAAAAAGATAAGATCCCAAATTTACACAGCAAATTTAAATCAGTGTCATTTTTATACCGTAGAAAGCCCGTATAGCTCAGTGGTTAGAGCACTGGTCTCGTAAACCAGGGGTCGTGAGTTCGACTCTCACTGTGGGCAATACCACTATTTTTAAATGCTTTTTTTGTTAATCATGTGTAGCTGCCAAATATAAAATAGTTTATTTACAGTAAATGCAGATATCGCATTAAATGATCATGAAAGAAATAGTCAGTTTAGATCTGAACATTAATCTATAAATGTTTCGCCCCATAGTTTTTTGATGTCAGATGTTTGGCGCTGTAAAGTCATTTTTTGATGTTGTGGTAAGAGAAAGGGTTGGTTTTTGGTTTGGTTTAGTATTGTTTAACATCCTATCAACAGCTATGGTCATTAAAGGACGGCCTCCCCTGTGTGCAAGATGCATGCGTGTAGTGTGTGCGTGTTTGTTTTGGGAGGTTGCGATATGTTCGTTTTTGTCTTCTTGTCTTAGCGCGAAACTAATGCCGTCTTTATAGTGCTACCTCACTGAAATATACTGCCGAAGACACCTAGCAGGACGCCCCACCCGGTCACATTATACTGACAACGGGCGAACCAGTCGTCCCACTCCTAAATTGCTGAGCGTTTAGCAGGAGTAGAAACTACCATTTTTACAGACTCTTTTTATGTCTCGGCCAGGGGACAGAACCCAAAGCCTTCCTCACAGGGGCGAACGCTCATCTAAAGGCCAAAAGTGAGGCATTGTCAAGGGAGACATTAGGATGAAGAAAGTTGTCTAGAAAGAAGAAAAAAGATAAGATCCCAAATTGACACAGTAAATTTAAATCAGCGTCATTTTTATACGTTAAAAAGCCCGTATAGCTCAGTGGTTAGAGCACTGGTCTCGTAAACCAGGGGTCGTGAGTTCGACTCTCACTGTGGGCAATACTACTTTTTTACAATGTTTTTTTGTTATTCATGTGTAGCTGCCATATAAAAAAATGTTTATTTACAGTAAATGCTGATATTGCAAAAAATGATCATGAAAGAAAAGGTCAGTTTAGCTCTGAACATTAATTTATAAATGTTTCGCCCCATAGCTTTTCGATGCCAGATGTTTGGCTCTGTAAAGTCATTTTATGATGTTGTGTTAAGAGAAAGGGTTGGTTTGGTTTGGTTTAGTATTGTTTAATGTCCTATCAACAGCTATGGTCATTTAAGGACGGCCTCCCCTGTGTGCAAGATGTATGCGTGTAATGTGTGCGTGTATGTTTTGGGAGGCTGTGATATGTTCGTGTTTGTCTCCTTGTGAAAGCGCGGAATTGATGCCGACTTTATAGTGCTACCTCACTGAAACATACTGCCAAAGATTTGCAGTCCCATTATACTGAAACCAGCAAACCAGTCGTCCAACTCCTAAATTGCTGAGCGTTTAGCAGGAGAAGAAACTACCATTTTCACACACTCTGGTATGTCTTGGCCAGAGGACAGAACTCAAAGCCTTCCTCACAGTGACGAACGCTCATCTAAAGGCCAAAAGTGAGGCATTGTCAAGGGAGACATTAGGAAGAAGAAAGTTGTTTAGAAAGAAGAAAAAAGATAAGATCCCAAATTTACACAGCAAATTAAAATCAGCGTCATTTTTGTACGTTAGAAAGCCCGTATAGCTCAGTGGTTAGAGCACTGGTCTCGTAAACCAGGGGTCGTGAGTTCGACTCTCACTGTGGGCAATACTTTTTTTTACATTTTTTTTTATTCATGTGTAGCTGCCAAATATCAAATAATTTATATAAAGTAAATGCAGATATCGCAAAAAATGATCATGAAAGAAAGGGTCAGTTTAGCTCTGAACATTAATTTATAAATGTTTTGCCCCATAGCTTTTCGATGCCAGATGTTTGGCGCTGTAAAGTCATTTAATGATGTTGTGTTAAGAGAAAGGGTTGGTTTGGTTTGGTTTAGTATTGTTTAACGTCCTATCAACAGCTATGGTCATTTAAGGACGGCCTCTCCTGTGTGCAAGATGCATGCGTGTAGTGTGTGTGTGTGTGTTTTGGGAGGCTGTGATATGTTCGTGTTTGTCACCTTGTAATAGCGCGGAACTGATGCCAACTTTATAGTGCTACCTCACTGAAACATACTGCCGAAGATATCGGGTCCCATTATACTGACAACGGGCGAACCAGTCGTCCCACTTCTAAATTGCTGAGCGTTTAGCAGGAGTAGAAACTACCATTTTTACACACTCTGGTATGTCTCGGCCAGGGGACAGAACCCAAAGCCTTCCTCACAGGGGCAAACGTTCATCTAAAGGCCAAAAGTGAGGCATTGTCAAGGGAGACATTAGGAGGAAGAAAGTTGTTTAGAAAGAGGAAAACAGATAAGATCCCAAATTTAGTCGCCTCTTAGGATCATGCAATGTGGGGCAGCAGGAACTAACACGTTAAACTATGTTATTACTATTGTCACTATTGTGATATATTTGTTAGGACATTTTCAAAAAGAGTATTTTATCAAAAACCACATGTTGCGATGTTCGAATGTTAAAGGTTTGAAAGAAGAAATGAAAAATGAATCAGAAATACATAGGACCTTTTTAATGTACTGTCTTCATTTTATCAATGTTGCCACTCAGGGAAAACAAAGTCAACGTGAAGAACATTGAACTTTACGTTTGACCGTTGACACGATTTAAGTGAGTAACAAGAAAACTGGATTGAGCACAGAACTCATGCTTGAGCATGAGAACGGTTTCATGAATACGAGCCCAGGGTTCGAATATCGGTCTAGCACCGCTAGTTATAGCATTTTGTCGATTTTTCCTTTTTTCATTGATCATGAAAGTCCCACAATGTATGGTTATCTTTACAGAAATGATTTATAGTCATGCCGTAAAAAATCCAATACGTCGTTGTAGTTTTTGGTAGCGGTACGGGGATCCTTAATTTTGCTTCATCTTATATAGAAGGGAGAATATTTCAATGAAAATAAAATAAAAAATGTTTGAATACTTCTTCTTCGCGATTATTACTGATGCTCAAGATTAAGGTCTTTATTACATTGCGTCTTTGGACTCATCAGTTACAACCAACAAATGTGCAGTAATTACAGTGCAAAATACGAAATAACATATCACAACATTACATTTATAATAATTCGGTTCTTCTCGAATTTCGTTACTGATTCTCTATTAGCTTACAATCGATTCCCCAATGCTGTAAGAGTTATGCCCCTTGATACAACTTACCCGTTTTGCATAGGACGACCGGTATCTCTTCCTCTGAAATATTACATCAGGTGTTAAAGCAAAATGTTAACTGTTATTGCTATCTATTGATATTAATATTTGATTGTTAATATTGTAGTCTCGGTATTCACCAGATTTAAATGTGCGCAAATTGTTTCCCCGAAGTCGAACGGAAAAAAACAACGGGTCTGTATTCCCCCGATTAGTTTTAAAGCAGATATAGTTTTTTTTATTATTATTAAAATACATAATATATCAAGTAGAGAATCTCTTACTAGATTTAAGTGACATTAATAAACATTTATTTTAATATAACAGACAAATATGTGCAACCATAAAAACGTTCACGACTATTCCTTTCCTTAAATGTGTTGCTGGTATTCAGATGTTCCCATAATTATTCAGAGCAAATTAGACGTCGTTCACCACTGCAAGTATTTAATGCCCATTTTCTGTCTATGACCCCCTTCCCGAATCTCGTCATTTAGTCCCCATTTACTATACATTGCCACCTGTTTACCACCAGTTACACTTTAATACTAAAGATTTCAACCCTGTCAAATCCCTTACCGCCAATTTACCATTCATTAAATTTACCACCTACTGCATCACCCCAATTTATCCCCATTTACAGATACCAAACATTTACACTGTTCCGTTCATTATCACCTATTTCTCGCTTATTTAGTTTACACTACATGCTGCCACCCATTTACCTCCCATTTACATGTACCATTCATGTACCATAATTTCATATTACCTGCTATCTACCATCACCGCTCTTTTACCACTTATTGCCACCATTTACTACCAATTTTATAATCATTTACCGCTATATTATTTATCTTCTACAGCCTGCGTTTGCCACTCATTTACCACCAATTGCCATCATACTTCTAATTTACCAATCATTTAACATTAGTTATATATCACCTATTACATTTAATTGCGATACACACATATCACATCAATTTACCAGTCATTATCGATCACACATGAATTCCCGTTACCAACCGTTACCACCATTTACCAATTAAAACAGCTTTACTAGTAATCTAATTAATGATTATTACGTTTTAATAGGCAAACAAACAGATTAAATGACGTAATAGAGTTAAAAATCTAACTAATTTATTTATTCCGTCTTTTCGTATTGCAGAATTATCTGCTCTTGTGAGCAGGTGTTGATTGTTACGTCATTAGTTTGTGAGACTAACGTCATCAATTTTTGAGAAAACGACGTAATTTTTTCACACAAACCAATGACGTAACACTCAATACCTGCTCACAAGAGAAGATAACTCTGCAAACGCAAAGACGAAATTGGCTAACTACGTTGAATATATATCACATGGTAGTGATTTAAATTAAATACCTTTCTGGGGAAACCTTCGGCAATCTCAAATTCATGTTTTCCCAAATCCTAGAAAAGCAAATGACACAGTGTCATAGACTCAAACAACATGTATGATTTTCCTGATATTTTGACATATTTTGATATATTTTCTTACCAGATATACACGTCATTTGATTAAAACAAAATATTAAAAAAACGACACCAAGTCCCATTGTTCAAAGTTTGGTCAGCTTAACGAAAGCTTAATACAAAACGTCTATCTAGAATATTTTGTAAATAACTGAAATTCAAAAAATTCAAAATGCCATTTAAAATGATAACTTTTAAAAACAGGTTCCACAAATATCATTTATAAAACTTTGTATATATCTAGATTTTTTTAAAATTTATTTTCGCAGTTTTAATATACGACTCTTTAAGGTCATCATACTCTGAACAATTGGGATGAGAAAGTACCATTTTGTAGATCGCATAGCTTTACTTAGCTTCATCATGCATCTTCGAATTTGATAAAAAAAAAATATGCTACTGTATCATGTTAAAATAATATATCAATTTCAGTGTAATACTGTACATTTTCTGATTGGTTTATTGAATAGCCTTATTTTTGCTTTCTCTATTTTCTTTCGTATTTGGTGGTGTGTACCATCCTCGGTCCCAGGTACAAATTGCACTTCCGTTTAAATGCGATTTTCACCTGGGATCCAGGCCGGTGATGTACGTTTTACACCACAAAATGGTACTGCTTAAAAAGAGATATTTTTGTATTTTTAACATAAAATAACCGACGTCCAAACTCACAATAACAGCAATTCAGCACCTTAGTCTGAAATTATTCTAGTAAACAAAAACTTTACCGGCACAGCATACGCCGTTTCCTGCATCATTCACATTTAATCCCAATATTAACAATATTATGTAAAATGGCCAAAACAGAAGAAATATCTGCCCACAATCCCCCAAAACTCACACACATCCTGTTGAATCAACAATGCCTGATCCAAATGTCACTAATTTCCTTATTTTGATGATGACGTTTATGAATTGCTCATTTTAGATCATTATGATTTTTATTCATTCAAACAGCGCATGTGGCAAATTTTAAAAAGAATCGTTTTTACATGCTACATATACCAGAACAATGTAAACCTGGGGACTCTATAAATATATCTGTGTTTAACTCGAAAAATCTATAAATAGATATGAAAGTTGATAACAACAAAAATGACATTATATATACCGTTTATTATAAACATGTATTTTAATTTCATTTGGAACAAGAACCAAATATAGAATGTTCATTTTTGTGGAAGTCAAGGGCAGAGCTGTTGCATCTGAGAATGACCTCTTGTTGTTATTTGTTGATGTTATAAAATCTTGATTCGACCGATTATGAAATATGCTATTAATTATATGTTACAAGCTACCGGAAATCTGGGACCACCAATAGCATTATTACCGATACAATCATTGTATTCATTGACTTATTTTTAGTCATTGGAAAAGGTCATCATCAAATTAAAGAAATATTGTGCAATGTGACGTAATTCAGCCAGTTACTGTCTGTATCAATATCATTATTCCGTATAACTCGAATGGGTTGCAAAAATTCTGACAGGCGGCAAAAACTGGTTGAAACTGACCTCTGTCTATCGGCCGAATCATTGGTCGGCGGTCTGTCTCCCCTCTGGCTTGACCGGAAGTTGGAGTTTTTCGTTGACGGTCGACTGTCACGTAGTTTCGGGAGGATCTCCCTGGCCATGTTGAAGTCCTCCAGGGGGTCCACCAGCCTCAGTGTGGTCTTCCTTGTTGACACATCGATCAGGGAGTCATCAAACTAAAGTGATTGAGGAATTAAGTCGTCAAAATAGCATGATGGAGGAATTAAGTCATCAAACTTAAGTGTTGGAGGAATTAAGTCATCAAACTAAAGTGTTGGGGGAATAAAGTCATCAAAATAGCATGATGGAGTAATTAAGTCATCAAACTTAAGTGTTGGAGGAATTAAGTCATCAAACTAAAGTGTTGGGGGAATAAAGTCATCAAACTAAAGTGTTGGAGGAATTAAGTCATCAAACTAAAGTGTTGGAGGAATTAAGTCATCAAACTAAAGTGTTGGAGGAATTAAGTCATCAAACTAAAGTGTTGGAGGAATTAAGTCTTAAAAATGAAGTGATGGAGGAATTAAGTCATCAAACTGAAGTGTTGGAGGAATTAAGTCATCAAACTAAAGTGTTAGGGGAATAAAGTTATTAAACTAAAGTATTGGAGGAATTAAGTCATCAAACTAAAGTGTTGGGGGAATAAAGTCATCAAAATAGAATGATGGAGGAATTAAGTCATCAAACTGAAGTGTCGGAGGAATTAAGTCATCAAACTTAAGTGTTGGAGGAATTATGTCATCAATCCAAAGTGTTGGAGGAGTTAAGTCATAAAACTAAAGTGTTGGGGGAATTAAGTCATCAAACTAAAGGAGGAATTAAGTCATCAAACTAAAGTGTTGGAAGAATTAAGTCATCAAAATAGCATGATGGAGGAATTAAGTCATCAAACTTAAGTGTTGGAGGAATTATGTCATCAATCCAAAGTGTTGGAGGAGTTAAGTCATAAAACTAAAGTCTTGGGGGAATTAAGTCATCAAACTAAAGTGTTGGAGGAATTAAGTGATCAAACTAAAATGTTGGAGGAATTAAGTCATCAAAATAAAGTGCTGGAGGAATTAAGTCATCAAACTGAAGTGTTGGAGGAATTAAGTCATCAAACTAAAGTGTTTTGGGAATTTAGTCATCAAACTAAAGTGATGGAGAAATTAAGTCATCAAACTAAAGTGTTGGAGGAATTAGGTGGTGAAACTAAAATGTTGGAGGAATTAAGTCATCAAAATAAAGTGACGGAGGAATTAAGTCATCAAACTGAAGTGTTGGAGGAATTAAGTCATCAAACTTAAGTGTTGGAGGAATTAAGTCATCAAACTAAAGTGTTAGGGGAATAAAGTTATCAAACTAAAGTGTTGGAGGAATTAAGTCATCAAACTAAAGTGTTGGGGGAATTAAGTCATCAAACTAAAGTGTTGGAGGAATTAAGTGATCAAACTAAAATGTTGGAGGAATTAAGTCATCAAAATAAAGTGATGGAGGAATTAAGTCATCTCACTGAAGTGTTGGAGGAATTAAGTCATCAAACTTAAGTGTTGGAGGAATTATGTCATCAATCTAAAGTGTTGGAGGAGTTAAGTCATCAAACTAAAGTGTTGGGGGAATTAAGTCATCAAACTAAAGTGATGGAGGAATTAAGTCATCAAACTAAAGTGTTGGGGGAATAAAGTCATCAAAATAGCATGATGGAGGAATTAAGTCATCAAACTGAAGTGTTGGAGGAATTAAGTCATCAAACTTAAGTGTTGGAGGAATTATGTCATCAATCCAAAGTGTTGGAGGAGTTAAGTCATAAAACTAAAGTGTTGGGGGAATTAAGTCATCAAACTAAAGTGTTGGAGGAATTAAGTCATCAAACTAAAGTGTTTTGGGAATTTAGTCATCAAACTAAAGTGATGGAGAAATTAAGTCATCAAACTAAAGTGTTGGAGGAATTAAGTCATCAATCTAAAGTGTTGGAGGAATAAAGTCATCAAA